TCTGGCACGTTCATGCTCAGGGCTGATAGTAGGCTTTCACAGCGCAACAGCCACTGCAGGCGCACACAAACGCATTTTGTGTTTTTTTTCACTCTGTCACAGCTTATTCATGAGGCGTTAATCCAACGGCCAGCTGTGTGATAGGGGAGCCATGAGTGCCTGACTGTTTTGACTTCTAAGCCCAATAGAACAGAATACCTGCTTTTTCAATTTTTTATATAAAATTAGCATGTTTGGACAACCAAAGAACTGGATGTAGAAAGAGAAATCCCTCTGTAGTATGGTTTCACATCTGTTGCCACTTTGGTTTAAGTTAATTTTTGTCAATTTCCATTTGTTTCGGTTGGCATATATTGAGTCAATTTTGTTTTTGGAAAGATTTGACCAGTTTTTGAGCTTTTGTTGCATTTCATTTAATTTTCTTTACATTAAAAGATAGCTGCTGTTGTGTCACATGTTGGTAATAACAATGAGCATGCAGAAAGCCGCTGAATTATCTCATCAGCGGAAGGTGATCTCTAACCCAGTGTTTTTCAACCTTTTTTGAGCCAAGGTACAGTTTTTCATTGAAAAAATCTCGAGTCACACCACCAACCAAAAATGTCAAACAAATCTGTTTGTAACACTATAGTTATTCTTATTTTATTCTTATCTTAAGTGTCTTGAATAGAAATCAAATAAACACAAAAATGTATTTTCATCATATTTTATATTTCTTCTTTCAAATTGCACTTAACATGTCCACTTCAATATGCAAAATTATATACAAAATCTAGTCATAAGGAATTATTACCTGATTACTCCACCAGTCTCTACAACAGCACAGACACTCAAAAAGGCATATTATTTGCAGATAATTAATTCCTTATCAAAACATAGGATGATTTTCTACGGCACACCTGACCATCACTCGCGGCACACTAGTGTACCGAGGCACAGTGGTTGAAAAACACTGCTCTAACCTTTATTGACTTCCTTACAAGTTTTGATGTGGAAAAGCGGATAAAATGACGGAGAGCACTTTCTGTTGTTCCTGGCATGATTAGGTTAGAGCCATAATCTTTGTCCAAGAAAATGCTGACAGAATGCCATTTGGATTGGGGTTCCCTGTATTTTGGCTGCTATGTTTTTGTTAATTTATAATGTAGCCAAATTTGTGTCATACTCATGTAGGTTTATCTGGCCACACAATGTACAAACTTGCAGTGATGTGATGTGTATAAAGATTACCATTATGTATTTCACCCATTTTGGAGAAAGAAAAATTAAAACTGGATGAGCAGAGGAAGTCAGAACAATATCATATTCTTATTTAACCCTTTAAAGCCCGATCCAAGTATAAAACAAAACAGAAAAATAATTTTTTGGGGTTTGAAGTCTTTATTTGGCCTTTTAACAAAATATGTAAAAAGAAAAAACATAATTTTTTATATTAATAATTTATTACTATGCGATAAGTCAAGGTTATTTTTCATGTAGTTTTCTGCGCCCTGTTATCAGGTATATCTGATCATGTACAATAGGATTTTGAGCAAAGTTTTTACCATTAAATTAAGCAAAAGGTGTCAGACGCAAAACATTTCAAAAACCGTATGTATCAAATATGATACATTTGGCGTTACAGGGTTATCTTCTTCAGACTTCGCTGAACAACATCCAGAATAAAAGAGACAAAAAGAAGGCAAAACACAGATTTGTAATATATTCTTCATTCCTCATTCACTGAGAAAAACAGGCAAGCAGGTGACACGAAGCTGAAGAGATGCAACATTTCACACTTCAGTGGTGAGAGGAACTGTTTTGCCTTTGTCTCTGCAGAATTACTTTTCTGCCACCCAAAGCATGATGGGAAACTCTTGAAGCTGCACTAACTGCAAACATCTTTTTGAGACCAAGACATAACATGACAAGGGCCCATATTCCTGAGCTCCCCAGCAATTTTGGATCACATAATTTATGGTTATTAATGGAAAATATTCACATGCGCCACAAGTGTGGAAGTAGACTTGAGGTAGGGAAATAAAAATGATACAATATAGTAAAGATTTTCTATCCAAATGACCATTTAACCAGAACACTATGACTGGTCTCCCTAACAAACAGACAGCTAAAAAAGATGCCCACAAACTAAAGTCCCATTAGTAACAACTTTTGTTTGTATGTGACTGGTTTAAAAAAAACAATACGTTTCTGGCAGCACCATGTTTGGTCAATGTATGTAATGCAAAGACAGAAAAACCTGGAATGACAGCAGTTGTGACACCAATCATCTTTTAAAAATGTATTTTTATTGTTTTGTTATTTTGTATCTTGTACCAAAACGCAGCAAAAACGTTATTTCCTGCAGGTTTCCAGGCAGGACACATTCACTGAGGAGGCTGCCTGATGGCACCACGACTAAAATAGCTGTAGCATTTGTTATGCTTTATTCCTGATTAAACAAATTTGGCAGAAGGTAAGGTTTTTGAGAACCGCATTGGTGACTCATCTTTTGCTCTCTTTTTTTATTTTAGCTCAGCACGGTCTCAATTTTTTTAAAGGTTGTCTAAAGGTTGTTTTCTGATACGGTTCTCAAAAAACAACTTGGAGTTAAACCGTTTTCTTTTCAAATTAGTCTAGAAACAGAGTTTACCTTATAGTTTCGTATGACAAAAGCATTTTTGATCAACCTTATTTACATTCCTTTTGCTCTTCATACCAAAAATGTGTATTAATCCACCTCCAAAAAATAGTTTTAGAAAAATAATTACATTGGCCGACTTTTTTTAGGACAGCACACTAGTTGTTTTGTTTGTTGGTTTTTGTTTTTCAGATTAAACTGGACACATGTGGACTGGAAATACTGAGGCAGAACGATACCTAAGGCATTTCTGAGGGATATAGTGGCAACAAAAGTATCCACCGATAGAGGTAAAACTTCTATTGACAGATAATGTTTCAGAAGTGGAACTGTTTAAGTGGCTGCTTCAATGTTATGCGAGTGTTCAGTCTGCAGTTCGATCAACAGGGATGAAATCATTTCTGATTTTCACCAAGTGAACACTGCATCCAGGTTCTTCCAACCTCTCCTCTAATTCCCCTCCCTCTGTATCTTGCATGATTTCCCAGTTTCTCACAGCTTTGCAGGTCCTGGTGGATTTGTTCCTGTATTTTCTGTACATGCAAACCAATTACAAACCTCTACCCCCTCAGGACATGCAGCCAATCAAAACAAAGCTCTCAGACGACCCACTTACACACGCACGCACGCTTGGACACCTCGTCCCGTCACCTTGAACATCAAGGTCGTTCAAGGACACAGCGTGTGCAGAATGGAGCTGGGGAGACACTGCAGTAAAACCAGCGGAAACTCGCAGTTATGAACCTGATAGTTTAGCTTTAGGACCTGCTGGCCGATAATGCGTAGATTAGAAATGCCTCTTCATGTAGGGATGCTTATGCATTTCGCATCATTATCATATATGTTCAAAACCACATATAGAAAATGTTCACTTGGTGTAAAGTTGAGAAACATCTAAATCTGCCCCAAGACTATTGAACTTTGGCCAACGATTTTTAGACGATCAAATGTGAAATACTGTGTGTAAATAATGAACACACAACATGCTGGCATTTTATTTTGCCCTCCAGTTGTCTTCGGGTCAGTTCGATGTGTTTCAAAAGTTAATATTTCATAGCCTTGTTTTTTTTCTTCATTTAACTCCCTGAATATGACAAAGGTACTCCATACCATGCTTTTTTTCCAGGTATTACAGATTTAAATTGAACTTGGTCATAAGCCTGTTTTAATATGGCAACATAAGTTTGTAAAAGGTGTATCACATAATTGTGTGATTGTTTTTATACTTCATGCTGTATAAAGCTTTCAAAAAATGAAAGCTTTATACTGGCAGCAATCAATTTGCTGCCAGTGGACAGCAGGTGTGAACATTTCCAGTGGTTAAAATGATTGAAATGGTCAATATCTTCATGAATCAAATCAATATCCTCTCTAAATGTTGACGTATAACAGTCAGTGGTTTTCCATCTACATGCATGCTTATGATCATATCCATATTGAAAATAATTCTAAATCTACCTTCTTCCCCTCAAGGTATAATTTTACATAGAAACACTATATCATTTTTTCTATTGTTAAATGTAAATGAATGTGTTAGAAGTACAACTCTTGCTTCCCAGACAGACAGACAATATCTAGGAAGTTACACGGATTAAATATTGGTAAACATTATCTGGCATATAAAATGCCCAACAGGGTTGAGGGCACATATATCTATATTTCTTTCCCCCTCTCCACAATATAACCAAGCATCCAACGAAGGATCCTTCTCAGAAAATACCTCTACCAAACAAACTTACTTCAAATCTCTTTTACTTAGTGCGCGAAATTTTACTTAATTTCTTTTACTCTTTTACCCCGTCTACAACACTATATACTAAAGGCTTTTAAAAAAAAATTTCTTTGCGTTAAAGCATCTGATAAATGACTGGACAAATTCTGTATCTGGCTGAGGCTCGATGTTTACCGTCTCTACTCTCAGCTGCATTACATCGGTGTTACATTCAATGCATCAGTCTTAATCAGATGGTCTGACCAGATTGTTATCTTGTACAAACTCCTAAACTGCTCATGTGGGTTGTTTTACTAAATATCATCCACAGAAATAAGGAAATATTTTTTTTCCCCCCATTGTATTTGCACTTGGGACAGGGTTCCTCACTTTACCTTTCGGAAGTTTTCATGTTGTGGGCGATATTATGTGTCTCACTTGTTTACAAGTGAGACACATTGTGTCGACATTTTCAGTGTTGAAAAATTCCTTTCGAAAACTGATAAAGGTCAGGGTAAGCTTTGTAGAGTGCAAAAAGCCCATCCTGTCAAAACTGTCAGTTTTGTTTCCAACTACCGGAGAGCTTGGGAATTGAAGGGTTTTAGTTTGTTGAATTTTTTAGAAAGTTCTCTCAGTTTGGGTGTTTTCAAAGAAAAACCTCAGGTCAGGTGATGTTTTATAGAATTTATAGCCAGAAACAGATTAAAAAACATCCAAGTCAACTTTAATTCTTTTTTTTTTTACTCATTTGATCAACATCACATATCAACAATAGAAAAAAGACAGAAGGACATAGACGCATCCCAAATCCACGACGGTAGGGAGGAGGAGGAGAAGAAAGGGTGGATGACAGCAGGGTGAGATGAGGGTTCCACTCTCCTGTCACTCATCCGTCTGCTTCTGCAGGGATGGACGGCCCTATCTCCTCCTTCGGTCCTCTCTGTTCCTGTCTCTGTTCTCTTTGTTCCTCTCTCTATCCCTGTATGGCTCCCTCTCTCTCTCACTCACTCTCTCTCGCTCGCCGTCCCGCTGTCTGTCCGTTTTTTGTCTCCGCTCCCCTTCCGCCCGCCGCTCCTCGTCCTCCAGCCTATCGTCTCTCCTGCTCCGCCGGGGGTCCTCGCGGGGGCGCTCCTCGCGGGGGCGCTCCTCGCGGGGGCGCTCCTCCGGGTCAGGGGCGTGGCCTCTCTTGTCTCTCCTGGCCGGCCTCTCGCCGTCGTCCTTGTCTTCGTCGTTGCTGCGTCCGTCTCGCTGACGCTTGTCGGGTTTCTCTCTCTTTTTGCTCTCCTTCTTCTTTTTCTGTTCGCTCTGTCCCGACCTTTTCTTAGTTTTTCTGCGTTTGTTGTCAGAATCTGGAGAGAGAGAAAAAAAAAGTTTTGGAAAAAAGAAGACGGGGAAATCTGCTCAGTCACTTTATCTATTTAACTGTTTAAGAAGACGGAAAGCCACTGGGAAAAAAAAAAAAAGAAAAAATATTCGGTGCAATTTCAGCTGAGTAATACCGGAGCTGCTGGAGGAGGAGGAGTCAGAAGAGTCGGATTGGCTGGAGTCTGAGGAGGAGGAGTCAGAAGAGGAAGACGAGGAGGACGACGAGGAGGTGTCGGAGGACTCCACTTCCTGGGTCTGAGTCATGATCATCTTTGGCGCATTCTTCAGGTGCTCCCTTAGCTCGTCCCTGAGAAAACAGGTTACAGGAAATGTCAAGGAGTGCCAACAGCTCCAGACCCGGGGAACCATATTTGCTTGAACTTGAGAGAGCCCACCTCATCGGCCCAAACCGGAGTGTGGACATGAGCTACTTACGTCAGCCCGCCAAGTCCAATGGAGGTGAAGAAGTTGATGGCAAAGCGCGTGTTTCTGGGATTGTCGCGAGGAAACAGACCCTCGAAGAATGGCTGAAGTGTCCTGTGAGAAACATGAAGGAGAAAACACGCCTTTAAACATGGTGATGGAGGTTTCCAGCCTCTGGGATGACTGCTTCCCGAAACCCACGACGATACAGATGAGCACGATAGTCGTGCAGTCAGTTTTGCCAATAATCCTCAGACGGGTGTGTTCTTACTGGTCTTTCAGCCTCTGGTTAAGTTTCGGGAGGCCCATGTAGGCACACAGCTCTTGGAAAAGGATTTTCACAAAGATCCTGCTGGAGGACGTGGTGGTCTCCTCGCTCATGCGGATGCACTCCAACACCTGGTGGAGACAGAGCTGGGTTTAGGCGCTATGGGCTGGATCTGACCACACACTGTTTTTAAACGGGCGCGTCCTTACGCTCCAGGGGACGGAATCCGTGTAGAGCAGATGGGCAAACAGCCGGGCCACGTTCCTCAGTTTGTTGGTCTCCAGCCGGTGAATGGTGTCGTACTGCTCGGCAAATATCGCCTCGAAGCTCTCCATGTACTCCTTCTTTAGCAGGCAAAACCTCTGCAAACACAAAACCAACATCAAATCCAGGATCGGCTCGAGATAGAACAGGGAAAAAGCCAAAGTAAAAGAGGGCAGAGGGTTTTCGGTCACCTTGTCTTCTGTGCAACTGGTGTTTTAAAAAGGCTGGGCTTATTTTATTTTTATAGTCTGTGCGTCTAATCTCTGCCATTTGAAAAATATCTTTAAAAATATTTAGCTACTTTTTATATTTCCTTAACATCACAGATTTTTTCAAATTCCTTCAATGGGGAGTGCTTCAGGTATCACTTGTTTTTGAAAAGTGCTTTATAAATAACTAAAAACGGTTGAGCAAAAAGGTTCAAGGCTAAAAACCTGCTGGCATTTATGTTTGGTGTAATGAATTGTGAACAGGCTCCGGGTGCTGACATGCATGGGCTGGTGAGTGGTCCTGGGTGCACGCCATCTTTTTCATCATGTCACTATAGCAACCTTCAACAGGCAAGTATATAGAGCTCGTATCTGAATTAAAGGAGTAGCCTGCTATAAATCTAACGCACAGAGGAAAAAATAACAGGGTGGTACCACATGGGGCATAATAAACCACTTCTCTGCTAAGTGTGAGAGCAGTCTTTCAAAATCAGCTGCACGTTTTCACAAGAGCGGGAACGTAAATTGTCAGTTTCTCACCCCGGCCAGCAGACCGAAGAACTTCTCATAGGTCCTCTGTTGAGCGCAGCAGTCCAGGATCATGTTACATAATTCTTTCTGTTCACACAAACACAGAACATGTAGTCAGAACAGACAGAAAAGGCCAAGATGTCAAGTCCCAAATAGGACAATTTGATCAGCTTCGACTTAGGATTTGGGGCAGAAAAACAAACAAACTGGATTTCTGATTTCTCTCAGTCGGAAAATGTGTTCTGAAGCAGCCACAAAATCGTAGAGAAAAGCAATTCAAGTTTAATCTCAGAGTAGTATGATACAGCCAACGGACTCAAAATGTTTTTCCTGACCTCCATCACACTTTTATGTTTCAAGAGGAGTGAAGGAGGGAAAAAATGAAAGATTTATAACCTGATGCGTAAAGGGATACACAGTGCACTTCCTTTTCTGAGGGATTAAAAAAAATGCTTCTTTTCACAAAAATGGAGCACGCAAAGAAAACCCTGTAAGCTCTTACAAATGCAAACGTTATTTACCTCTGAACAGCAACGTAAAAAAGAAAAAAGACAAATTTGCTCGGCCAACCGAACCTTAACAACGCAAAACTCAACGAATAGAAAAACATATCGAATGTAATTAAACGAATTTCTTATGTAACCTTTTTAAAAAACAAACTATAAATTCTCAAAATATAATCACGGTAAGACTTCTAACAGAGTGATCCACAGTTAGAAAAGGGGGCCAGAGGCAGAGAGAAGTGTGTGTCAGTGGACAAACGTCTGTTGTGTGGAGTGATTCAGTCTTGATGCTGACTGACAGCTCTGACCTCTCACACGCAGCCAGCCTTCACCTCAGTGGAGCGTGCAGCAACACTTTCTCCTTTATTTGAACACAATCATCGGTCCACGCCATGGGCTTGAAAACGGGGATCAGATGAAGCCATTCACAGTTAAAATTTTAATTCTGAAACCTGGCAAAAGTAAACGTGTTTTAGGTTCTTTTTTTTTCCTGAATCGAACCATTTACTTAAAAAAAGAAAAGGAAAAAAAAGCCAGAATCCTGAAGACATGCTGCATTTCATCAGAAAAATGACAAAGAAATGCTTTTAAAAAAAGAGGTGTGCACATTCACAATGGGTTAGAATTTCTTAGAATTTCTTCAACTGAGTGCTAAAGCTGGAGGATTTAAAAAGAAAAAAAGAATTAAGCTGGAATCAAAATCCAAACTTATTAAATGAATAACTAATCCAAGATATCAGAAAAAAAAAAGAGGATTTTCCGGCTTTAAAAGTGCATTTCAAAACAGCATCTTTCTACCGCAGGAGGAATCTAAGCAGTGCACTTAGTTTTACTGTCTTCTGAGATTACTTTCTGCTCGGTTTGCCAGGAGACGCTTCAGTCGCTTTGCATTTCATCAGCTGCGCCTGAACTGAAATGTTTCACAGACGTCATCTGGACGAGGCGTTCGAGGCAAAATCGTGAACAGTGTTTTCCACCTGCCTTCCTGCTCCAGGGGGGAAACCGAATGGAGTGAAAGGTGACGCTGCTTCGGTGGGACGGACGTGCCAATGCACCGGCGTTAATGATACAAACGAAGGTGTGGGCAGCCGGTCGTCTCCGGACGCGCGCCACTTCTCACACCGCCGGCGCCCGATGCTGTCACACAGTGTGGCCTCAGGACCGGGCACATGAGTCATTTAAGAAGCGGCAGACACAGAGGCAGAGCCTTCACATTCACACGACAGGTCACCTCTGTCTAATTCACAGTGAAAGCATCAGTCTTAACGAGAAGACCACAGTCTGATTTTCACTTCTTTTTCTTCTTTTCATGACTTTTGTGACTTCAACACCTTTCTGTGTTGAATTTGCATGTTTCCCCTGTGTCTGCGTGGGTTCTCTCCAGATACTCTGGCTTCCTCCCACCATCCAAAAACATGCATGTTAAGTTAATTGAACACTCCAAATTCCCCTCGGAACAAGTGTGAGCGTGTGTGGTTGTTTGTCTCTGTGTGGCCCTGTGATGGACTGGTGACCTGTCCAGTGTGTAGCTGCCTCTCGCCTCTCAGCTGGGGTATTCCTACTAGGAATAAGCGCTCTAGATAATGGATGGATTCTACTGTACATTAGAGTAGACTTATTTGCTCTTTTGCACATTTTCTGGTTTCATTGCACATTTTTGTATGGAATTGGATTTCCGAGTTCCCGAACATATTTTGTAAATTTAATTTACTCAATATTTACCCGTTACAGCAGTGAAATTTCCCTGTCAGAGATTAATAATGTCTGTGCGTATGTAAATATGCGTGTATGTCTAACCCTCCACATATAAAATGGATGACAGCTTTCAGAATCCCCAAAGCAAAAGCGATGGTCACATTGAAATAATTTGTGAATTGTAATAACGTGTTTTCTGATAAATGGAAAACTGCCTACAATGGCACTCGGCTAAACCGGGATTGAGCCTACTGGTGTGCTCGTTAACGCGCAGAATTTCAGCTCTGCTCTGACTGTCTTCCATTTCAGTGCTTCAGATTAACAAAGGCTCTGTATCATCTGTCAGAAGCTCTTATTCTCCCTCACTTTAGTGTTTACTACAGTTTACCATCTTTATGCTCCGAGGAGAAAATCAGCTGCCTAATGTTGAACTTTAGATAAGAGAAGCTACTCAAAGTGTGTGTGTGTGTGTGTGTGCTTGTGCATATGGACTCACAGTCTGGCTCTCAGGAAAGTCCATCTTAATCAGTTTATGAGCGCACTCCTCAAAGTCCAAGCTGCAAAAACAATTAACCAATCAATATGTCAGCCTGGAAAAGGGGAATCAGTCTGCCCACAGGTGAAATGTGTGCAAGATCTCCTCTGGTTTTCCCTCCTTTCCAACACCTGAGAGCTCTTCTTTAGTAAAATCTTTTCAGCTCTACTGCATGGACACATATTAGCACGGCTGTCTCTCAGAGGACTTTTGCCGATGTGATTGGCGGTGGCCGCAAGTGTCCACAAACAGCCCTTTGTGGGTGTGTCGGGACGACCAACGTGCCCACCCTCCAGAGGACTAAAGATGGCCCTCGCAAAGGCAGCCAATCTCTGGCAGCTTTAAACACAGCTTTAGATAACAGTCCAGCTCCATCAAATATAGCAGGAGCTGTAAATAACTGCCAAAATCCAGAGAGAAAACTGAGACAGCAACGGTGCCACTGCGTGCTTTGAGTGTGCGTTCCTGTGTGTGCATGTGTCTACCTGGACTGGATGGCGAGATAGATGGTTCTTCTGAACGCAACCAGGTTCACCTCAGTCTTGTCAAAGATGGTGACCTTTTCTTCTGAGATGGAGAAAAAACAAATGATGTTACAATCTTTTGGATTTTCAAAAAACAAAAACGCAATTTCTGATCATATATCAGCTCATTTATAACAAACAAGGGTGTCGGTCAAAGGTTCAACACCGCCCCTGCTCTCTTTTCAGGGACTCCTTGTGCTGGTTGCTCTCACTTTGTGAAGTTTGCTTTACTTAAAAACTCCTGTCTCTTGCATTTTTGCATGCAACTAAACAACTGACCCAAGCATGACTGACCAAATTTAGTGAGGCTGAATCTTCATCTTCAAGCCAAGACTTGGAGCAATCCTTCGTACGGATATCATAAACAAATAAATAATTAAATTAAGGACAGGAAAAGTTACACGTGGACAGCTGAGCATGTTCACATAGCATTGACTAAAGCTAGAATAAAAGCCATGTAAACATGTCAGTCCAACCAGAGTTATGCCAAACTGAATAAAAAAAAAGGTTTCACTAAGATTTTGCTAATTTAAAACAAACCTCAGAGGTTATAAAGAAAAAACAAACAACACATTTGGAGAGGCAAAATTATACATTTCATAATTAAAAGTTGGAAGGTAAATGACCCAACTATCTGGCAAACCGTTACATTTAGTAAATGCCATCTGTAAAACTTCCATCTGTTTTTTGGCTGATAACCCTGATGACATCCTTGTGACACCATCTGGGTTTTGTACCCCCTCTTTAATTTCCCTGTCCCGTCTTTCTTACCATCGCCCTCCGCTTCGTTCTCCTCCTCATCGTCCTCATCTTCGTCGCTGCCGTCTCCCTCCTCCCCCGAGTCGCTGCTGCCCTCGTCCAAGATTTCTGACGGAACGAGAGCTGGCCGGTCAAACTCTTGACCGAAACAATGGACTGGGTTACAGCACAGGTGCGTGTTCCCTCACCTCTTTTAATGGTTTTGTACTTCTCCTCATTCTCAAGGAAGTCTGGATCCAACTTGAACACGTCTGCAAAGAGACACAGGCTTTATTCGTGCTGTCATCCACAAAGCGGAGGAACGCTCTCCTCCCTCCGGCTCTCTGTGGATCTTACTGAGGATATCTTCCTGGTTGTATTCGTCCTCCAGTGGCAGCATGTGGGTGAACTGGTCGTCCTCGTCCACCAGGTCCAGGCCATCCGGTATCACAGGGTGGTCCTTGAAGCCATCCTTCCTGATGGCGAACATCACCTCAATCATGTATTGGACCCTTTTGTCGATAGAAGACTCGTGGAGGACATTCCTGAGACGCTCAAATATGGCTGAAAAGAGATGAATGGGGGGGGGGGGGGGGGGGCACATGGCAGGAGTTATGTGGTTGATTGACAGAATTCTTGATAAGCCACATAAGCCACTCAAATTTGATTATGACGCTTTCTCTTCTTCACTCTTTTGTACCGTTGATTCCTCTGGGGGAGACCTCGGTCAGTTTGAGTCCGCACTCCTTCAGGAAAGAGATGGCCACTTCCACGCTGTCGTCAGTGGGACGCTCCAGCAGCAGGGTGAGCATCTCCAGGCACAAAACCTCATGGGCCTGCGGGTGGCGCGTCACAGAGAGCACGGGCAGAGGCAGGCGCTTGGTTAGAGCTGGACGTCAACACTCACAGCCTCGGGTTTACATAAGAGCTGGAGGCCGGGACCTACCACATTCTGGTTGATGAGATGAGCCACAAACTTTGAGGCTGTCAGGCACTGTAGCTGGAAACCAAAGACATGACGTGCTTTAAACATAAACAATACTATAGCTGCCTTATATAAAAATAAATAAATAAATTTAAAAAAAAACACACTCCACACATTAAATGTCAATGGGGAAAAACTAAAAAAAGAAAAGGGGAAAAAAAAGACAATACTTTTGGCTCAGACAACTCGCAAACAGAATGTGAAAAACATTAACTTAACAAGCACACGCATAAGCACACTCTTGGGATTGTGTTCAAAAGTTCTCAGTCCTTGCCAGCTAGTTCTCTTATTTAGCTCCAGTTTCTTTCTCATCTCAGTGCTTTGGGGATCGTATGACTTCAAGCTGTTCAAGCTGGAAAACTTCCACCTCTGTGAGCGACGGGGAGTCAGTTACCCTTAGATTTGTACTCGTCTTCCATTTAAAACCAATCCCCTGCTATGCAAGTACAAAGGGCTGTTGTTTCATCCCGTGTCCACTGATGCCAGTTCATGCAGTTATCCCCACATATAGTCCTGTACTAAACCTCAGTTCTATACATTTTTATTCTAAAATGCCAGACTTAAATGTAATCTTTTAACTCTTTAAGACTGACACTTTTTTTCCCCATTTACTTTAAATCAAACAACCAGTGCCTTGAAAGCATTTTCAGTTTTAAAAGTTTTAACTGGTTTGTTACGAATACTGAGAACTTTCAATATCTGGCAATTATTTGCAACGTGCAACATCTTACAATCATTTAAAACAGGGGGGAAAAAGTGGTTTTATCTCCGAAGAGTATTATAGTCTTTTTTTATTCCGCTATTTAACAAACTGACATGTTTGAGCCAGAAAGTCACAAAAAAATTATGGACATGCTCATGTCTGTAATTGTGCAACAGCTTGTGCAATTGATCTAAAATCCAGTAGCAAGTCAAATGCTGACACACATGTATTAGAATCGGTTTAGTTTGTTGCCTGTGGTTCAGACTTACGCGTTTTTAGTGTTGGAACGCCATCATTATTGAGCTGAAGTCTTATTATTGAGCATACCTTGCCAATAAAACTGTCCTCTGCATGATTTTAAACCTCATTTTTTAACCTATCGTGGCACGTCAGGAATCTTTAGCGGCCGGTGGCGGACTGTTACCTTTAGATTGCGGCGGTAGCTCCTCCTGAAGCTCAGGATGAGGCGTTTGAGGATCAACTCTCCAATCTGAGGGAACTTTGAGTTGATGATGGCGACGACAGCCGCGTAGACATGAGTGAATATGGGAGAAGCCGCCTGAGCCTGAAGCACCGAACGAGCTAGCAGACCCCTAATGGAGACACATGCACACTCAGTATTCCAACGCGCTCTCCATTTAAAACTACATACTTTGCAATATTCAAACATTTTGTCTTATTTTTTACATAAAAGTACAAATTCTGATGTTATATCAGATGTTTTTATGGTGGACATACCTAAAGAAAATGTTCAGAATGGGGGACGAGCCGAGATGTTATCCGTCTATTCAACTTAACAGCCACATGGCATAAAAAGATCTAGACCAGATTTCTATTTTGTTTTGAATACCATTGAGATAAACTTCATCCCCCTCATAAATATAGTCAGTCCAAAACTTAACCCCCACCCCCCAATAAATATATATTTTTTAAATCAGTCAGACCTCAGATTAATCATAAAAACTCTAGGCTTCAAATTCAATTGAAAACCTCCCCATCTAAACCCGCTTGGGTAAAAAAAAAGTCCCTTTGTGAGTGCGAGTGTGTGCCGGTTAACATATTTACCTCCCCCTGACGATGTTTTCCTGCAGAAGCTCTTGGATGATGTTCACAATGTTGGACACGTTGACTTTGTTGATCAGACCATTGATGGACTTCTTCAAAGCCTCCCAGCTCATCCTCTGATAGGCCAGGCTGCGTGGGAGGGGCAGGGCATAAGTGGTTAAACTGTCCTGAGATTTCTGTTTTTTTATGTTTCTGCATTTAGCGGACGCTTTTATCCAGAGCGACTTACAGATGCAGACACAAAAAATACGATTAGCATGAACCTAACAATAAGCTACATAGAAGAAAATCTGTGGTCAGACTGTTAGAAGCAACGGTGGTGATAGTGTAGAGATAGAGGGAAGTACAGAAAGAGCAGTAGAGGGGGCGGGGAGGTACAGGCTAAGAGTTTGGGTAGGAAATGCTCTCTGAAGAGCAGGGTCTTTGAGAGGTTCTTTAAGCACTTGGCAGGTCACTCCACGATGGTGGAGTGACCCTTGAGAAGACGATGGACATCCTTAAGTGTTGTAGGCACTGATAGCCAGCAATCCATTGATGAGTAACCGAGTTTTGCCATAAGCCTTTGCCAGAGTATTCAAGTAGATGGAAGTTGTACCCTTAGGGACTCTGTGGGCTTTAAGTCAGTGACTTGAATTTGATGCGGGCGACTAGAGGAGGCCAGTGGAGCTCAATGAACAGATGGGTGACATGGGGTGTTTTAGGCTGATTGATCATTCAGGATCATTTGTAGAGGTTTCATGGGACAGGCTTGGAGACCAACAAGGAGAGCGTTTCAATTGTCACGGTGGGAAACGTTCACAGACTGTGCCAGGAGCTGGGTGGTTTGTAGGGTTAGGTACGGCCGGATCGATTCTTTGCTTAGTCATGCGAAGCCGCACAATCGAGGAACGGAGGAAACATGACCTTTGAAAGTTAGCTGGTCATCAACAATGACGCCCAAGTTTCGAGCTGCCTTTGACGGAGCAAGAGATAGAGATAGCACTCCACCTGAGTCAGTGGGAGAGAATGTTTCTTTAGCAGAGGTGTAACCTGAGCTCGCCTGAATGAGGTCGGAAATGAGCCTGATGTCAGTGAAGCTTTGATCAGATGGGCGACTGCTTTATAATTGCCTTGTGATTTTTTATTTCAAACTATATCTTTAGTGCGGAAATAGTTTCATAATGTCATTACTTAGATTTGAGTTCTTTATCAAGGTTCAGTCCTCCGTTTGTAGTTTTCACTATGCTAATGATCAGAAGCTCAAGGCAGCCAAAAAGTGAATGATTCTTCTTTGACAGTTATACAACTTGTTTGACAGTTGTATAAAGCAGGAAGTGTAAATCAATTTATTCTGTGTCATGCCTTTTAGTCAACATGGTTCCAACAGATAACCACAAAATGATATTATTTTTTTCAATATACGGTATAACAGACCTCATGTATATTACATTTTACTTAATTTTTTGGGTCAAAACTGCAGGAAACAGGAATCATCAAAACTTTAGCTTGGATCAGAGGCACTTATGTGGATGTAACATCCGTCGACGTTTTAAAAGAACAGTGTGGAGCCATTCAAGTCAATTTCAGGCAGTTAAACGGCAGGAAATCAAAGCTGTCACATATTAACCTCTGAAATAAGTCAAACTGAGCCAAAAACAAAAGGAGGGTTAAACAATTACACGCGAATTACAGACTCAATCACAAACTTATTTGTGGGTGTGTCAGCCTAGAACAGGTCACAGTTGAATTGGGTTGTTGAGGGATTCCGATTGTTTTGGAGGAGAAAGGGCACGCCTTTACCTGCTCTTGTCGGTGATCTGCTGCTGCATCATGCGCAGCTTGGCCGGAGGAATGTAAGCGCCTCCAGTTCGAGTGAGGATGGGATCGAGCTCCTCTTTTTTCTTCTTAACCGGTGGCTCATCGGCGACAGCCGGCTCCTTGTCGTTGGTCGGGGAGCCCGATCGGCCCCTCCTCCTGTGGTCGGAATCGGCATCCCTGTAGGCTCGCCTCTCAAAACGGCCATCACCGTCGTCCCGCCGGTCATCATAGCGATCCCTGTACAAGGAGAAAAGACATTATTGAGACTGAGTAGGAACAAATCTAAGAACCACCTCTCCAGTATGATCACATTATGAGAAAGCTTGCCTTTTCCTTTACTTGTCATCTTCATAATTAATGTCTATTCTTTATGCTTTTTCTTTTGTACCTCACTGCGTGTATTCAAAATAAAAACAATTCATGGAATAGCTTGAACCTGCGACTGGCAGCAGGAGCCAGGGGTCTTTCATCCTTCCCCAGCCGGAAACATGGAGCGTGTCTCATGTTAGTCATGTTTCCAAAATAATTTAGCTCAACTACATGGTAACGAAATAAACGCAATAGAAAATCTGACCACTTGTTTTCTATGTCATTTTTTAGCAAAAAACTATAATTTGTTCATTTTAACAATGTTGGTTACACATCTTTACAATGTTGTATTTTTCTGAAACGTCAAAAGCATTCTACATCACCAGTTTATGGGGCTGGCTTTTCTAGGCAGTGACATAAAAAATCAGATGCTTAACAGCAGAACAGAACTTGTTTGATGCTCTCTTTGTGCGTTACCAAGCATAGCGCCTCCTGTCGAAGCGGTCCCTCTCAAACCGATCTCTGGATCTGTCCCGTCCTCTTGACCTGGACCCGTCTCGTCCCCTGGATCTTGATCTGTCTCGTCCCCTTGATCTTGATCTTTCCCGGCCCCAGGATCTGGATCCGACTCTGTCCTTCTCCCTGGATCTGGATCGGTCTCTCTCCCTGGACGAGGATCGGTCATTATCACTAGACCCGGACTGATGCCGCTCTCTGGACCTTGATCTGTCTTTATCACCGGATCTGTCTTGCTCTCTGGAATCAGATCTCTATACAAATAAAAGAATAAATAAAAGATCATCAGCACCAATTTTTCCACTTAGTTTTCACAACTGAAGATGAAAAAGAGAATTTCTGATGGTGTAAATACAAGATGAAATTTGAATTTCTCTTTAAAAGTAAAATAAATAAATAAATAAGAAATGTTTTAATCCTGCCATGTAGAGTTCCAGCATTAAGCCTGCAGGTAACTGGGGAGCTTGTGTCTCAGATGACAGCCATGGACAGAAAGCCTTACTTGATTTGTAAATCTGTCAGTCAAAGACTCTGACTTGTCTCATGAATGTCATCAAACAGAATGTGACTGCTGGACCAAATACTACATCACTACTTTTCATTATGTCACAAAATGAAGTCTTAAAAGGGGGATTCCGAAGAAAAGTACGACTGAGATGCGGCCCGAGTTCCTCAAGGCTCTGGATGTTGTGGGGCTTCGTTGGCTAACTACGTTGGCTCTGTAGCATCATGTGGACATCAGGGGCAGTTCTGCTGGATTGGCAGACTTCGGTGGTGGTCCCCCTATTTAAAAAGGGGGACCGAAGGGTGTGTTCCAAATACAGGGGGATCACGCTCTTAAGCCTCCCTGGGAATGTTTATTCAGCGGTTCTGGAGAGATAGTCGGATAGTTTAATCTCGGATCCAGGAGGAGCAGTGTTGTTTTCGTCCTGGCCGTGGAACGCTGGACCAGCTCTATACCCTCAGCGGGGTCCTGGAGGGTGCATGGGAGTTCCCTCAACCAGTCCACATGTGTTTTGAGGACTTGGAGAAGGTATTCAACCGTGTCCCTCGGGGTATCCTGTGGGGGGTGCTCCGGGAGTATTGGGTACCAGGGCTTTTGTTATTGGGTACCGGGCTGTTCGGTTCCTGTACGACAGGAGTCAGAGCTTGGTTCACATTGCTGGTAGCAAGTCGGTTCCGTTCCCGGTGGGAGTTGGACTGTGCCAAGGTTTCCCTATGTCTCCGATCCTGTACTTGTAAAATCGTTTTCTTTTTAACTTGTGACAATAACTAAACATATGAGCAAGTGCTTTTTGGCAGTTTCGGGAGCAGGACGGTGCACAACAAAGCTCATTTTCATTCAAAATGAGTCAAAACCACATAGTTTGAATAGTTTTACCGTTCATGTCATTAAAACAACAACATATTCCGATAACTCCTCATCAAACTAAACAGCAAACCTAATCCAACATGCTGACCACTCCTGAATTCCCCATTCAGGAGGATAAGTCAGAAGAACCTCAAATAGAAAATGTTCCCAACATTTTTAGTTCACATCTAATAAGCACCAGTACTCAAACATATTCAAGTCAGATATCACAGCGACGTTCGCTCTTACTTTGATCTGAGCCACGCTGCTTCTCATCTTCCTCAGTGCACCTTGATGCTCATCATCATCACTGCTGCTGCTGTCCGAGCTGCTGGAGGCGTCCGAACCTGCAGGACTGGCCTGAGGAGAGGCTTGCTCTTTGGGGCTTTTGTCCACTGCATCGGCCTCCTGGGGCCCCCCTGCTGTTGGACCAGACTCGTCTTTTGAGGCTCCTGCAAAAAAGAAAAAGCCAGAAAAAGATAAACACAAAAGCATCTATGAAAAATGAAAAGTGAAAGAGGGGAAATGACTGGCCTCTCTCACCACTGGGTTCTCTGTCACCAGGACTGGGATCGGGACTTGAGTCTGGAGAATCCATACCTTATGCACAAAGACACACAAATATAATGTCACGATGAAAAAGGGTCAAAATTTCACCACATAAACTCATTTGGGTGTCACTTTTATGTCTGTTACTCAGGAAAATGGACTTTGTGCTGAAAAGATCACCTTCAATAATGGTGATATCATGAGAATGTACACTGTGCTTCTACAGTTTAAAATAGGTCATTTATGTTTATCATATTTTCTAGAAAGGTCAGTTCAGTCTGATCCAGACTTACAGAACAGAAAGAAACAGAACGAAATCTTTGGTTCGAGTCTAAATAATGTGCACACCCCTGTAGCGGTAGTGATAATTTAATTTCTATTTCAATAATTTCCCATCGTTAACATGCAAGAATGATAGCTCCTACAAGCCATGTATCATGTCTGTCAATGGATGGGTTGCAAAATTAAACTCATTTTCTATTCCGTCAAATACGAAATGCAAAACTATCCATCCACATAATTTCGCACATTGGCTCGTTTCATGGACCTCAACGCAAGATTAGTTACGTGTCACCGGTTCTCGGTCCCTACATGTCATATTTGTATTAAATCTTTTAAGCAAGTGTTTCAAATTGACCGGAGATGACGACAATATACACAATGATAAATTAATAAACAGCCAATGTGAAGTTCGCTTGACTTCTTCTGAAATTGTTCAAATTTGTCCAAAGCTAATCCACAAATCTGCTAGCGCCGTCATTTCGCCAGGAAATAAACACGTAAATTAGTCGGTGCATCGACGTTAAAACGTTGTTTTTACCGTGAGTAGTTTGAGGGAAAGGAACTTAAACATTTGGCTGTGAATGGTTTCAAATGAACGCCTCGGTTTAATCGCCATGCGTGTTTGTGTGGGCTGAAGTTAGCCTGTTTGCTATTGTTACCCGAAAGAAAGCTATCTTAACTTCCGGCTTTTCGTTGTCTCCTTTCTCTTTGAACAGATGCCCTACTCTATCTTCCAACTCGACTTCATATGGAGTTCAACAACTTATCTCATTTCGTATATCTTACCGTTTAGTTTCACGACTTTTCTTCAATCACGGTCGTTATTCTGGCGGAAAACTTCCTACAATAAGCAACATCACTTCCAGGTGACGGACAGCATCCGGTTTCAAAAGAGGTCGCGTTAACATTGCGCCCCCTGGTGGCGGTACCTGCCCATTGGGTCACCGTGCAGAGCAAACCGAGGAAGATAATGGAATCATCCATCAAGCATCTTGGAAAAACTAACGCAAACAAAAAATAAATTGATGAAACACTATTAGAATTATGTTTTTATCTATTCGGTGTACTTTTGAAAAACTTTAATCTTTTGAGAGAAGAACTTTATTGATGAGAAACAACGGTCCTCATGAAGCTGGTTCCATCTTCTCATACCCGTCAGTTCTACAGCAGGGAAGAGTTTCATTTAAACATCCACATGTTCCCAGTGTCCGGACACAGCTCACCCTGGGCTAGAGTTATATTGTTTCACCTCTGGGTGTATGTGTTTTTAATCAGAATTAGTTTCTTGAGCGGCTCCACCGGAACAATTCAACAGTTTTGATGAGCCACGATCACTTTTTCAGGTGACTCAGAGTTCTAGTTTACATATGAGTCAATCAATATCAAAGACTGAGGCGATAGGAGGATAAGTGGAAATTGGAAAAAACAAGATTTTATCATATTTGGAATATCAGCAGTTTGATGCCTGTGATGAGAGGATCATTGGGTTAGATTCTTCCAATTAATGTGAAAGCAAATTCCAATGTGACTATACCATACCATACTAACAACAAAAGAATTTACTGAAGGCTCAGTAGATGTATACTTCATTTCTATTTGTGCGAGTAAAGATGCCATTATTTGAGCCTGAACAGAGCTTTCACATTGCCGAAATGAATGAGTATTACTATTTTTAAAATGAATTGTGGAAAAATGCAACTTCCTTTCTAGATGTGTGACTCATTACAGTCCGCTTTTGAACAATAATGTCGGAATAATAGTTAGTGGTCATGACGGAACATGGGTTTTCTTTGAAAGAAAATCAAAATATGCCAAAACACAGAACCTGCCTTCAGTAGTCACTTCACAGGCGTTAGAATATGAACACGTAGAATGTTATAGATATTCAGAGATTTTAATTAAATAATCGCTTTCTTTCACAAGTTCATCAGGTAGTAAAAAGAAGCTTTTTTCCCCCCGAGGATTGAATCATGTCTTTCCTTTGCTCCCAAAAAAAAAGCTTGGTTGCCTTTCTGTCAGACTATGGCGATATTTTGTACACTCGTGTCTCGTCTATATGTCAATGTGCTTTTGGTACTCTGCAATACGGGGTCCTAAAGTTCATCACTACTTTTACATCTTCGACCCATCAGTATTTGTTAACAGATATATTAATTAATTAAAATTTTTACTGTCTTACCAAAGACAATTGGAAATGGTGTTTTTATTCTCAATTAGGCTTCTAATGGTTAAATAAAGATGAAATAATGGAAAACTAAACACAAAATTAGGAAAAATATGATATGATACAATGAGAAAATGTTACACTGCCAAGATGAATGAAATGTAAGATAGCAAAGTTGCTGGGATCTGAGGTTTCTTGTCATTTACAGTGAAAAGCGTAATATACAAATGTGCTATATAAAATGGTGATATACATTTATGACCTATATAGGAACCCCCTGAAAATGACCAGAGGGAGGCCAAGAACTGTACCCTCTGGCACGCTACAAGGTGTTAAGGTTAAAAGAGTTATTCAAAATTGATAAAGGAGGATACTGTGCTTGACGGTAAACATAAACATACACATTTATCTGTACTGAAAATAAATACATCTTTATTATTTTCATCTCTACAGAGTGACCCCTCCCTAAATCCCACTCATGGTACATCAGTACAAAATACACATCTTCATCATTATTTGACATCAACAGAAATTAATAACCACCAATAGACAGTAAAGTGTAGTTAGAAGAGTGGATTCTTGATCAGTTAAAAATCACAAAAAGAAAACAAAGTGTGTGGATCCAGCAGTGAGGTTTGCGGTCAGTGGACATGAAGAAGAATCAAAGCTCAAGGTTTCATTCAATACAATTAGGAGATTTCAAATCATTGAACGTTTTTTGTTTGTTTTTTCTTTATAGAAATTCAGGTTACGTGATAGCTAAACAACCGGCACATGCTTCAGCAAAAAATACTTAAATTAATCTCAAATCTCCAATGAGCAAATTTTTGAGCTTTGATATTTAATTTCCAAACATAAACACTCAACCAGATCAAATTGAATGCAAGTCTGTGTGGAATATTTCACAATTACCAAAACACTTATTAGAAAATGGGTTTAAAAAGATGTTGTGTGGCTGCATTTATTTCCCATAGTTACCTTTTATGTCTTTAATAAATCGACGATACATTCAAAACCTGTGACGCATCACAAAAAAACCCAAACACGGGGATGTGTGAGGAAGAAAAGTCAGGTCTACCTATGAGTATTACATGGCTCTGCAATCAATTAGTTTAGCAGGTTCTGTGCAAAAGGAAGACATTTCTCTCAATAAGACCAGCAAAACTTATACTCTGTATTAGAGATGCATCACATGAGAAACATTATCTGTGATCTATTGATATTTACAGTTGTAGTATTTCGATATGTGTTCACATTATTGCACAAAGATTTCTCAGACAGAGTGAAGCTATCATGCTATCACAGAAAAAAAAAAACGAATCACTTGCCGCATTATCATCCTCATCATCACTGTCGTTGTGACAACTTACCAAAAAACAAATGATCACCAAGGCTCCCTGTGTCCTGACATCACATGCTGATCACTTTCCACACGTCACTCAAACTACGACCAACAAGTCCTGCATTTGTAGGAGGACTTTCGCTCATTTGAACTATGGAAACAAACTATGGATAAAATTACATGACCTGCTGAAATCGGAACATCTCAGGATTATGATCTCGGAAAAAAAAAAAGAAAAGCTGGTTGCATATTGTAAAGATAGCCTGGTTTTTAAATAGCCTGATCTAAATTTGTCTGAATCATATCATTCGATTGTTTAATGAGCTGACCAGCATGAGGTGAGAGGAACAGAAGCACGATGATGATGAGGATGATGACAGTAATGATTATGATGATGATGTGTCATGATCTCTATTCATTTAAAAGAAAAACTCTCTTTCGGCCTTTCAAACTAAAGCAAAATGTGCAACTGCATGAATTACTTTAACAAAAGAAAGATCAGGTTGATTAGTTGAAGACTCATCAAAGATTAAGGAAGACAAACACTTGCAAGGACGCATGGATGCAGAGCTTTAAGGATGGTTGAAGTATTTGTGAAGAAATACCAACATTTGCTAAAGAATAACCTAGCAAATAAACAATACATTTTTGTCTCCTTCTTAGTGGCACCTTTCTACGTAGGGCATTTGGTTTAAAGACATCTGTCTGTAAGATTTCTACCTCCACCTCATCAGTATAAAAGACATCAGAGTATCTTTATCAATGTATGCCATTTTGTTTAGTTTTTTTCCTTTCACTCAAAATATTTCTAATGAAATTACATAAGAAATGACATTCCAATATTGCTATGGTTAAAAAAAATCACAACAAACTAATGCCAGATCAATGGGTAGAAAAAATGTGTTACTTTTTGTAAAACTTGCGTTTTTTTTTGGCAATACAATTACAAAATAGAACATAAAGAACTTTAAAGTTAAACCAAAAGCCGAATCTGACAATTGTAATGTTTGACTTCATCAGCAAATAGCAAATTATTATATAATCAATTCCTGTAATAACTTTATCATCATTAATAAATGTATATTGTGATACTTCTCAGATTAAGTGGAGTTTAATACTACTCGGCAGGAGGAGGCACACATTTTAGAAACAGATATCTTGAAACCTACAGAAGAGAGTAACTAAATACATCATTCCATCACATGGACAAAATGGCAGTTCAACAGATGCAATTTTGAACACTGGCTACATTCAATTTTTGATTTGTGTTTTTCTTTAATGTTATGTTCTCTACAGTAAGAACAGCAAGATATAGCCAACTCTATGTTTGAACTAAAACGATTATTAGTGATTGTTACTTTCTGACTTTCATAAAGTCCAGATCTACCACTCAGTGAAATCAGGCTGACCCATTAGTAACCCGTTAACAGGGATTGGGATTAGTGGGAATGATACTGGTAGTGGTACTCTTTACTAGTGGTTTTCATTTAGGGGGAAACAGGATGAGACAAGCGGACATCATTCATCACGGTGCTCCAGACTGAGGCTCCCAGCATGCATCACACTCTGCACGCAGAAGCAACGAGACCTCTCATCTGAAGCTTTAACTAGCCACAAATTCTTCGACAGCAGTAGGGGGTTCACAGGGGGAGTAGGCGGAGTTTACCACATGCAGGTGACGTGCTTGGGTCATCAGTGTTACGGACGTTCAGTGTGACAGACACAGTGTTACTCAGTTATACAGTGTTACAGACGGTGGGCGGTGTCGCTGTGAACTCTAAGGCCGGAGGTGACGGGGGAAGGTGCTCTGCGTTTTGTCATGGCTACAGCGGGTGTTGCCTGGCAGGCAGGGGGGAGCCTCGCGGTGACGCAGCAGCCAGCAGCTCGCTGTATATCTCGCGTCTGACCTCTTGCGCCACGCTCTCTCGAATCTGGAAGACGCAGGATAGAATTGGTCAAAAAGATAAACAACCTGGCGTGACCTCATCGAGGAGACAGAAGACAACACCGTGAACTGCATGTGAGGGAGGCCTGTGCTGCTTTTAGCCACGTTTCTTTTTCTTGACCATAGTCTCCCCCTTTTTTCTTTTTTTTTTGGAAGAAAGTTTGGAATGTTCCATCTCAAAGTGATTGATTTCTCTGCTGCCATCAGCCGAGAGTTTATTTCAGCGGTTTGAAATGAGATGGATTGTCTCATTAATGGTATCCAGTGAAGCATTCTTTGAAATGATACTGTTCTGTTTAAACTGGAGACCAGAGAGATAACTATCAATCAAACTATGACGTCAGCCATTATGACATCCATTGGAAGACGTTTAGTGTGGAGGTGAGAGGCCTTAGGTGCCAGAGGACAAGGCGGGCTCTCCTCAGCGACTTGCTCCTTTAAATCTCAGGGCTGAAAAGGAGGAGTTGGGTTGCAAAGTAGCTCAATGACAAAGCGACCTGGACAGTCAACTTACAGCAGTTTGAAATGGACTTCTGTATTAGATTTGCTAGCTGCGTAGTCTTTGCCAGCCTGATTTGATTTTCATGACCCCATACTAACTGCTGGAGAGGACACTAGCCAGGTTTTAAACTAATACAAATCGTTTAAATACTCTTTTCTACTTGCAGAGTATCGAATGTGCGTATTTGTGCCTTTTCTGATTTACTTCAAGCAGCAAATAGTATATAAAACATCAACAATAAAAAAAACAGAGCATTTTCTCTATAATCAAGTCTTTTGTTTTTTGGTTTAAAGCCTATAAAGACACACGGTGCTGCCACTTTTATGTTTGTGCTGCAATTTAGCGTTATGATTCACACACATGATTTTCTACTCTGCCCACATACCCTCTACCAAATTCACCTTTACTCTATTCTTGGCCTTCTTCCATCACATCCTCAAATCCATTTACCCTGAAAAGTAGAAGCTGCTCAGCTCTAAAACTACCAAAAAGGACGTTTTTATTTCGTAAGTAAACATTCTGAACCTATTACCTTCATTTGTAATATTTCTAGATTCATTTTTGAGTTTCATTAGGTGTGTGCATGCACTTATTTTGTTTTTCTGTGTTGTGCCATTGTTTTCTTTTGTTCTTCTGCTCCCTGCCGTGTAAAAGAGGGGTTACATTTCAAGAATCTCATCTTTCAGACAAATAAAGTTTGAAACAGAGGAAATAGATTACCTTTGTAGTTTTGGTAGAGGGACTGATTCAGAAGAAAAACAAACAAGACTAGGACTTTAAGTTGACTGCAGTTATCCACATACTGAATTTACCATCTCAGTTCTGCATTTCAAAATACATTTTGTAGAAGTTAGAAGCAGGATAAAACGAACAGGATAAAAAGGTTAAGATTTTCATTAATTTTTATAGGAAATGGAACATAGCCCATCTATTTATTTCTAATCCAGCCTTGGTAAATTTTTGTCATACAAAACCCTTCTTGTTACAAGACAATGTACCCATATAAACACGTATAAATGTGTGAACAAGAGTGGACATGTCCATCGTTACCTCTCTGATGAGCTGCTGAAAGTTCTCCGCTTTGAAATTCCCTGCTGCTTCTTGGCTCTGTGGTGCGTCTTTTTCCCCTAAAGCCCCTCCTCCTTCTCTGACCTCTGCTCCCTCAATGTCTCTCAGTTTCTCCTCCTCCTCTCCCTCTTCGGGGTGTGCGTTGGGACGAGAAGGAGGGGCAGGGGTTATGTTGATCGACGCCCGATACAGTCCTTGCCTGTGCTTGGCCTCTCGTTCGCCTCTGACTGGACTGGTGGAACGTGTGGATGGGTTTGTGGAGGGGCCGTGGCCGTCGTAGCCGAGCTCCGATTGGAGAAGGAACTGCTCCCTGAGGAGGTCGGACACCTGGGATGGATGGGATTACACAGGGTTACAAATGAAGACATCCCTTACCACACAGATGTTTGTGTGTGTGTGTGTGTGTGTGTGTGACTGTGTGTGCAGACCGGTTCCATGGCTCTTAGTGCAGACGCAGTGGACAGACTGTCAAAGCTGCTGCCTCTGTGAAGACCCTACGGAAGACAACAGCGATTACAGCACAGCCACATCAGGCTGCGATTGTGAGTTTTATTCACACATGTCACAGTCTCAAAATTGTAATTAATGCAGGCATCTGCAGATTAAAAAAATTACTCTGCGCTGTGGGTGTTGCGTCAGCCCTATCAATCTGTCCTCCAGCTGCTGTTCCAGCTCCTGGAGTTCCTCTCTGACTGCTGACCTAAGAGACTGAAGCTGCTCCGCCTCCATCCTGTGAATAAGCGCAGAGACACACACGTACGCAGGTTTGCTTTGTTTCACAGCATCAAATATCATCCGGGTCTTGATTAATATGACGCTTTTGTGAATTTGTCATCATGACTAACCTGTCGATGGGGCTTAGGTGTTTGTATACCAGAGCCTGCTGTTGCATGATTGACAGCTCGAGGTCCATCATCTGGTTACGGAACACGTTCAGGGAGCGCCTCTTCTGCTGAAACTCCGCTAAAGACTGTAAAGAGACACGCTTTAGCCGTACAACTCAAAGAAAACATTGAGAAAAACTACGTGTGCATACGTATATGCACTCAAGAGCTCCAGATGCGAGAGAAACTTTCTATTTGTGGATTAAAAATGATGGAAAAGTGAACCAATGGGTCCCCCTGGCAAATGCAGCTTAAACGAAACAAGAAAATATCAAATGCACCGACAAGTGCTGCTGCCAACTTCCCATGCAGCCCAGACTGCTACAAACAACCATCCAATAGGGTGACAGTACCTGGTAGCTGGGAGTGGTTGCTCTGTGGTCACCCAAAGCATCTGGAGTGTTATCTTGACTCTAGAGGGTAAAGATCGCAAAGTTAAGGCAAGCTGTGGAACATTAGAAGCAGACAAAATGTTACTTTAAGGCACGAAAAACTACCAAGACGGGGATGTAATCTGTGGATCTGTAGACTTTGGACTGAGATTTATTTAAGACAGGAGCATATGGAAGAAATCTTGCACAATGTTTGCCATAAAACTGAGGATATCAGGTGGAAGACTAAGCAAAATGGGCCTTACAGCTTCACTTGCAAGGAAACAACACAGGGATGTGCAAATCAATCAGAGTGGTGAGACAATTATAGATTTAGACGGACCTTAGGTTATTAGATTAATCTAAATAAACCGCAAATCATAAACACTTACCACACTAAACAGGAGTTGCCTTTCATGAATTGGCTAAGAACAGTTCTGAAACCAGTTTAAAAGCAGAACTAAAAACAGCAAGCAGACTATGTGATTGATCAGGACCAACCTGACTCAGGCTATGAACCGTCCCCCGGATGTCGTGCAGAACCCGCCTCAGCTGCATCTCTGTGCTGGATGGGAAATGACCCGGTCCTGAACCCGGAGCGGCCGGCGGAGTGAGCCCGGGGTTTGGAGAAGAGCCCAGGTTGGTGAGGAAGCCTGGAGCAGAATGAGCTAAACCTGGGTGGAGGCTGTGTTCTGGGGCCACTGGTGGATACTGGGTGCTGGGATGGGCAAAGGCCGTGTGTGGGCTCAGGTGGTAGCCGTGGTAACCGAGGTAAGGCGAGGCAATCTGAGGAGGTGTGTGATAAGGTGACTGTTGACTGTAAGGATGGTTGTAGCTGGGGTGGTGCATTGTGGGAGTTCCGCGATGGAAGTGAGGAGACGTGGAAGCTTGCTGATGCAAGTTGGTGAGGCTGCAGTGCGGGGGGACTGTAGGTGGAGGAGGGTTGTGCAGGCTAGTTAGACTTGAAAAGTGGTTCAAAGAAATGTTATTCTGGTTAAAGAGGTTAGGAGACGTTGCATAAGGGTGCTGTGGGTGAGGGTATGGGTTGGAGTTGGAGCCGAGACTAGGGTTGGGGTCAGAGAATACCGGCGAGGGGCTTGGGTTTGGGATCATCATCTGGTGGGGATTCCAGCCCTGTTGGGTTTGGGTTTGGCTGGTGCTCATGCTCTGCTGAAACTGCCTTGGATGCTGCTGAGCGGAGGAAAGATCTGGGACACTCTGGGTGCTCCAGGACAAGGTGTTAGCCCCTGGGGACCAGTCGGGAGGAGGGCTGGAGCTCTGCAGGGAATGCGATGACCGAAGCAGGTGGTGAGGGATGGGTTTAGGAGGAATGGTAGACGGTGGTTTCTCATTAGGGCCAGGGTTTATAATCAAGGTAGACACACAGTTACTCTGTCCTCCGTCCACCTCTTCCTTCTCCTCCAGCATCTCCTCCTCTTTGTGCTCTGCAGCCTCCTGAGCGTATTTTAAGGAGTACCTGGGTGGCGTGCAGACAGCCTGGCCTTGTCCAAACTGGATCCTGACAGAAGACACAACTCTGGGTGAAAGGAGAGAAGAGGGCAATGAGGAGGACCGCTTCATGGGGATAATACCACGTCTTCCTCGTCCCACTCCGGGAGTTTTGAGAGCATCGTTGCTCTGAGGGTTGACGTTCTGGCCCGTTCGGCTCAGCTGGTTGTGTTTGGCTCTGTTCAGAGCACTGAGAACCGGAGAGGGCGGAGCGGGATAAACTGAAACAGAATCATCCAAGACCACAGGCTTGACATGGGCCTCTGCTCCCTGTGTGCGATCTGTATTTGTTGTGGTTTCAGTCAGGTTTTCACCGTGTGGTGGTTCTCGCTCTGAGAGATTCTGGGTCTGTTGCAATTCCATTTGTGGCTCTTGTCCAAAAGCAGATGGGCTCTGCTGGGCACCATCTGGCTGTGGTTCGGTGTCAGGATCAATCCTGTCCCCGTCATCAACTTGTTTCCCATTACAAGCGTCCTGATGTATTCCAGCAGGTCTGGTCTTTGGGAGGTGGTGGGCCCTGTACTGTACAACATGCTCCAAACTCCCATCGAGCGCCTCCTCTTCCTTGGAACTTCCCCTCCCACCGGTACCAGTAACATCGGCAGGCTCTACCTCTTCCGCTCTGCTGTCTGGCAGATCGAACGCTGCCTGGTCGAGTGCATGGGGCGTTGACAAGTCTTGTGAAGGATGTGATGTCACAGTGGTCTCACTGTCACAGCTGTCACAACTCTCCTGCACCTGGGTATAATAAAGCACAATCTCATTATCATTTCAAAAAGCTGAACAAAGCTCTTCACAGTGCTCTGTATTATCTGTATCAATGGTTAAGTGATAGTTTTAGCGACTTTAGGCAAATTTGTGGATTAAATGTGAGAACAACAGTTTCTTGCCCAGGAATTTTATTTAGAATAAATTAAATTATATCACTGGACCCCACTACAATCAGATGGGAGTATCTAAAATTAAACAACATTTGTGATCTTCCAAGAGCTATTGGAAATCCAGACTGAAATAAATTACCTTTGAAAAACTTTTTTTTTTTTTAAAGAAAGAAAAAGCAAGGATGTTTTTAAGCTGCATGAATATACGTGAAAGTGGTGGGGGGTTTTTTTGTTAACACATTTTTCTGACATGTTGCTGTGGAAAAGATAGTGTAAGATTGTTCCCAATTATTCCTCCACAGCATTGATCAAACAGCATTTTTTTGGCTGCTATAGAAGCCTGATTTGAACTTGTACAATTAGAGGGATAGTACATGAAGAGCAGAAATATACCAGAAACCCAAACCAACCTTGAGGTAGCTGTTGGAGTCAACAGAGGGCTCCTCAGCAAAACCACTGCTGTCTGACTGCTGACTTACGGTCCTTGACAGGTCTGGCAGGTGAATAAAAATAAATGAATTGATTAAAACAAACCAGCAAAAAAAAAACAAAATAACAGTTCTGGAGCATTCCATCTGACCTGTAGGTGGCAGAAAAGAATAATTCCAACCTAACATACAACTACAATGTTAAAAAGTCTGTCCAGTTTGTGATCTGAGGGAAACGAGACAGGAAAATATTTACTCAGACACTCTGACCTTTTATCCCATTTTTAAGAGAGATGTTGCATTATAATACATTTTCTGAGTGGCTAAATTAAAGCTTGGATTGGGACTCAGTTGTACCACTTCAGCTTATGTAACAAACATGGCTTGTTTAGAATTCAAGCCCTGGCATATTCTTTATAAGGTCTGGTCTACAGCAACACTGGCATGGCAATATGCATGTAAAAGATAAACCTCTGAGTTTCTTTTCATCGTTATCATCGTTGTTATGAACTTTCTCTTAGGTTTATTACTGTGTCGCTGACATAAACAAGTGGATTACTGCCAACAGCCAGTCTTTACATAAATAGAAAATTAATAAAACGAAAGGTCATGTAAATGATTCTAAATACATTTCACAAAGCCATCAAGCCAGAATATCCAGCAGGTAAAGCTGCAGGTTGTCATCTCCAAATTGGCCGCTCCATGTAATGATCTGTTAAACACCTTAACTTCAAAGTGAGACAAAAATCAATTCGAGCCAGTACGCACCGTTGGTTCTGGATGTACCGTGTGGCAAGGCCTCATCTTCGTTCGTCTGAATCTGAAGGACAAACAGCAGACAGCATCTTCAATCTCTCAGTATCAAAAGGGCTTAAAAACAACCTGAGGACTTTCAGTAAACAAGAAACCTGTCAGATTTACACAGATGCTCTTGGAAAATGGGCTCCTTGAACATTTGTGTAGATAAATAAACCATTAATCCTCATAAATTCCCATAACATTTTCCACATAATCTGCTAGATAAAAACAAATATTTACAAGCATTAAGTAATCAACGCAACATGTTTTCTCCATGGGAAAACTACTGACAAGTGGCAAAAAGTCGTAGTGTGCACAAAAATTTCATGACTGGTGTTTTGGTGAATGGAAAATATGATTTTGTCTTTATTTGCATGAATTTGACTGGTAGAGTACATAACTACTGACCGCAGGGAGCTCAGATAAAAATAAACACCCATTTAAATGAGAAATAGTTTGATTAAAAGGAATCGGTGACGACACCGTCCAGCCTGTAGCCTAAGCAGCGCGGGACAACCCTGTACCTCCTCCATGTCGAAGGAGTCGGCGTTTTCTGTGCGAAGCTGGGCCAGCTGGGGTGGAGCGAGGGTGGACGGGGTGGAGGTGAGGCCTTTTTCTTTAGCCACCCTGGGCCCCTCGTCTTCTGTTCTCTGTTTGGCTGCGTGATGACCGGTTGACTCTGGCTGACGCTCTGCTCCAGTGCTGTTCTGTTCAGAACTGATGGGAGAAAGCGATACGAAAAAGAAAGTTGAAGTGGTACTTAAATATACTTTGGATCCAGGTTACTCTTACTTTGAATTAATAGCTTCTGTGTAATAAACATTTGTTTATGTTTATGTTTATGCATTTGGCAGACGCTTTTATCCAAAGCGACTTACAGAGTAGACACAGTATTACATTTCTCATCACTATGACAATAAGCTATATAGAGGAGAAACACTGATCAGAGTCAGTGGTGACAGCAAGAGAAAGAGGTAGAGGGGACCACAGAAGGAGTTGTGGGGGGGATAGAGGTACGGGTTAGGATTAGGATAGGAGATGCTCTTTGAAGCATATAGGTTTCATATGCATTAGAACAGTGTTGTAAGCCTTTTTCCACTGACTCCTTGTTGGTCTCAGAAATGCGTGCATCATAATCATAATAGGCTCTCAAATCTTGAGACCTAGAGTTGGCAATCCAGTTCCTTTCTGATACATTTCTTATATAGGAGTTATTTTTTTCCCATGTGTCCCCCATTAATCATACGATGGATACTTCAGGAGTCAAGAAGTCCGAGCTCATAGCAAGCATCAGCTCTTTCTTAAACAGTAAAAGTTTGTTTGTGACAACACAGTGACTTTGATAATTTAATCACAATTAAATAATTACTTTGTAAACATTTTAATCTACAGAGTATGAAGTGTAGAGCATGTAGAAGCTATAGACTGTTATTATGCATATGTACAAATATGGCTACCTGATGTCTATCATCCGATCCGTCTCTCCATCTGCGCTAGATTCCTCAGCAACTGTTGCGAGGGAGCAGTTTTCTTTCCTGCGAATGTGTTTCTGACTGAACACCTCCGCCTGGTGGTCCGAGTCGGTGCCGCGTCGCTCCGGGTCTGGACAGGTGTGGGCGTGCCCGTTGAGGTGGGGGTGGTCAGGGGAGGCCGCCTGCCCGTTCAGCTGTGCGTGCTGTCCAGGTGAACGGGCCTCGGGCGACTCGGAGGCAGAGCCGAGCAGGTTGTGTTTGCTGATGGTTTTCTTGAGCAGGTTGGCAACATTCCGAGCGGAATTGCTTCTCTTAAGGGGAGGCGACTGCTCCCGCGCACCTCCTCCTCCACTTTCGCCTCCGCCCCCCTCCCCCTCACCACCTGAAAGAAACACAAAACAAAGGTCAGACTTAAATACAAAAACAGCGCCACAAGATTAAAAAAAAATACTTGAGATGCCATTATTAGGAGCTGACATACAAGACAATGCTATTTAAAATAAAACAAGCAAAAAAAATAAATTAAAAAAATCCAAAACATGAACACATCATGCAGCCAAGTTCAGGCTCTTTTCATTTGTAGCAGGTATACTCTAACATAGTGGGATAATAAAAGTGGTTTAAATCCATAAGAAGCTATGATCTTTACTTATCACTCACGTATGTTCAACTCTTCAAAAACCTTTTTTTCCTGAATTCTATTTGACTGATTTATAAAAATTTAGAATACATCCTCAAAAGTTTATTTAGCTATTGAACCAACCACATCCCTAGTTCATACTGGTGCCTCTCAGATACTCCACACTGACCTGGACTACAAACTGTCCTTTTGTACGGTTGCTATAGTTACCTAGTTCCTTGGAGCTGATTCGCGGAACAGGCTGTCCAGAAACCTGACTGTAGAGCTGGAAGAATTCATTAGCAACCGTTGTCAAGACTTCGATTTGACGGAAACGACCTGACAGAGAGAGAGAGAGCGAAACAAACAAACAAGTCAAACTTGTTTACTCACAAAAATATAAAAACACAGATAACTGTGCGACGAAAACAGATAAGGCAGAAAAAATATTCTGGTTTCCACGGTGTCATTTCTAAATCTGCTGTCGAGCTGTCGCAGTACATGGTTCTGTTTGTTCCACCACATCGTGGAAACTCTCCTTTGAGATCTCGGCTCTTGTTGATATAACTCCCCGCTGCAGATGTGCCTGCTGCTCAGTTATGGCGCCAATATTCCGCTCTACCACATCCCAAAGACAGTCGTTCTGGCAACTGAATCCCAGAGAAGTCCACTTCATTGCTCAGGAAACCACTTTGAGGGGTAACGTTGTCTTTCTTTACACAACATGTTATCCGGCAGGAAGCAGCCAATAAAAGATGCTAAACTCTGTCCATAAAGGGAAGCACATGCTCGGCAACAATACTCAGATGGTTTGAGGAATTCAACCCATGACTGACTAGTATCAGGAGTGCCAAGAAAGCATTCCTCATACCATTACAGAACCAGAGGCAGCCTGGAATGAGGATATGAGGCAGGTTAGATTAATGGCTTCAGGCTTTTGGTGAAAAACTATAACCTACCATCTGCAGGCTCAGCATTCGATTTTTCCAGTTTTAGCTGTCCAGTTTTTGGCTAACTGCAGCCTCAGATTTCTGTCTGTGCCTGACAGAAGTGGATGCCTTCGGCAGTTTGTCTTGGTTACTCAGCAATGTTATAAATAGAGATTATTGATCATTGGTTCGTCGCCATTATTTAGGCAAATACAATTTTTTTTGTTTCGCTGTACAGCTAACAAGGTGCTGAGATGTGTTTGATTAAACTCGGGGAAACACTGAAGCAAATCACGATACTGGGACACGATAGCAGACCAGAAACAGAAGCACCTGTTGAGACGTGTTTTTTTGTTGTTGTTTTTGTTTTTTGCTTCCATAGCCCCCTAATGCTTTAACTGGTTTTGCTAGGGAGATACTAAAACTGGATTTCTATCACAGATACTCTGGGTATATAGGCTATGTAAAGTTACGCTCTTGTTGTTTTACTTGCAAAAAAGCACTGACATAGGAGAAAAAAGTACATTAATTCATAATAAAGCTCATTGCAAAGACGGCAGCAGTGTAATAGGGCTGTTTGGACTCAAGATATTTTGTCCTAGAAACCTTTTTAGAAGTAAAAAACTAAAAGGTGTGCGTGGCATTCTGTTGAAAAGGGTGGCACCAGAAGAATTTAAGTCTTAGGTATAATTTCCCATCGGCTATAGACTTAGGAGTTTTTATTGTACAAGTTTCAGCCAGGTTTAAAGGCTCATCTGAGATTCAACCACCGCAAGCTGAATGAAGAGAAAAGGACAATTCATATTGCAAAGGATCATTATACTGCAGATCTTGCCAATCTCAATATAAAATAAGAGTTTGTTTCTCCAGTAAAATATTATAAGAAAGCCTCATATTGGGAATGAACATGGACCTCAGACCTGCTCCTCCCATTCCCCGACGCCCCCTCCTGTCGTTGTGCAAGTTGTGCTGTCAGTGTCATCTCATAATGACTTGCATGCTTTCCTGCCTTCCCTCCCCTTCCCTCCCCTTCCCTTCTCCATCTCTGGCGGTTTAAATACTTGTCAGATGGTTATGAAACACAGTGGCTTCAGCCTGTCGCTCTGTAAACACCTTGTGACTTGCTTGTGTGTCATCACCTTAAATACAGGACTCTCACATATCCCTTGCCCTCTGACCTCATACTCATACTTCAAACCTTGGAGACAATTGATTCCAAAATGATTTTACAGCCGATTTGCAGCTGTCGCTTTGCGATTGCTGCTTCGTTATATTTGATGAAAACTAAAATCATTCCAACTATTGTCTCAGTGACAATGAATGACACAAATTGGCAGGTAAACAAACACACAAAAACATTAAAAAATGCCAAAAAACAGCACAAAAACCTATGAAAAGCTTTGTCATCCCATTATAAGCAGCAAGCAATTCAATCTAGTTTTTCTTTTCTTGTTTTTGATATACTGAATCCAATTGGAGCTTAATGTTGTGGTATTCCTCCACGTGGAAAAGGCACATGGACAAAACAGACAACATTATGTTCCTCATTCTGTGCAGCAAGCACAAAGGTTTTGTTACCCCCAGCAGCTTAATCAGTAATATATCCAGTAAAGCTTTTTTTTGCCCTGAGGAGACTAAACAAAATGAGGCATAGAAACAATCTGTCATTCAAGCTTCATAGTTATGTCACTCACAAGTCCGCATGACTGCAGAGCCTCTTATTAAACCAGCCAGCTGTGTGTGACGATAGTAATAATATGCGAGTGTGTTTCCTGCTGACTGCTGACTCTGCATAAATGCTCATTCTGAGGATCCTATAACAGGAAGTGAGGGATAAGAGAAAAAGAAAAGTACTCGGCTTTTTTTCCCCTCTCTTCATCCCAGGAGATTTACTTTTTTTATTTTCTGATGCTGAGAACAGGGGTTACATAACAAACACACACATGAATGTGTCTGGAATCCAGGGAACCGATGGTAGAGTATGAGAATGTTCTGGAACCAGCTTCCAGGAACCACATACTGATTGGGCATTTTTTGGAGGGGTTCTGTCGCTGCACTCACAAACTCTGCCCTAAGTGGTGCAAATGTGCATGAGTTGTTATTGAGATTGCAACATTTTTGCCCACTTTCTGCTACCACTGATCAGGAGTGTAGAGAAAATAGGGTCTGAACTTCTCCTGTCCTGATCCGACAGTCTTTGCTAATTTTCGTTTGTTGGGTTAGTGCGTTTCAAAAAGACCTCTGCTGATACATAAAGAAATATCTCACAACAGGTCGACACTCAGGGAATCGCTTTCATTCCATCTGTAGGCCTTTGCCTTCAAAACACATGCAAATCCAAATTCCCTTTCACTTTATGTTCACACCTCTTCCAATTAGTTTGAACTGTCAAACAAGTAAAGAAAACTCATACTGGTGTGACACAGAGAATACTTTTTGTACAGTTTTACTTCTCTGGGCTCAAAAATTAAGTTACGGCCTTACCTTAATGTTTGCTTGCACATAGTCCTTGAGAAAGCGCTGATATTTTGGATGTGGGTAAGAAAAAAAGCCATTGTGTGAAAGGCTTGCCTCAGTTTTCAGCCTGCTGGTGTGATAATGTCCTAAATATAAAACTCCCTAGAACAATTACTCATCAGTTTCCTTAAACAGTTCATCGTTATTTCTGGACGAGGCAACTGGCGGAAGCATTTGAGAACCACAGCGATATTAGATAAATGTTAATAAAAATATGAGTCCCATAACGTCCCATTAATAACCGACTCAAAATGATGATTAAAAACAGCTTTGCCAGTAGTACCACTAAAACAGAATGGTACCGTGTCACCAGACTTTCTACAGTACCAAATGCTGTAGAAAATAGAGAAATCACTAGTTGAGCGAGACATAAGAGCTAAAAGCTAAATAATAAAAAAAAAAAAAGAACCAAAATAAACAACAATAAAAGACGGCAAATTCTGCTCCACCAGAATTGAAAGTTTATGACAGAAATGGGGTTTGCAGTGTTTTCAAAAGCCAGCTCTTATAGGAATACGTCAGCTGTTGTGGTGCCAACATGGCTGTTACAAGTCTGTTCTCGAGCCTGAATCTTAAGAATGTCTAAGAGCAATTGCTTTCTTGGGCCTCAGAACTCCAGCCGGAAACTCCAGCCTGAGGACTCACAAGTAGAACTTGCCATTAAAACAGCAAAAGAAAATAGAGTAACAGAGATTCAAACTTGATCCTTAAATTGGCTGTAAATCAGTGTGGGATGACTAGCACAGGTATGATGTAACTGCACAACATCCAGACACAAGCCAGGTTGCAGCCTTTTGTGATTTTTTCCGATCAGGATGAATTTACAAGATCTTAAAATCCTGTTGATGGAGGAAGACCGTCACCTTCCTAAGAAGCCTTAAATGACTAAGAAACAGACAAATAGTTAAGGTGGCACTCTTAACGCTACCTAAGCTATTGAATTATTTAAAAAAAAACAACATCCTGTTTGCTTTAATTAAAGTTAAAGATGTTCTTCTCCATGCATGACATCTTATCCTTAAGAAACATTGCTATTAGTTTAATTGAGCTGAATATGCTGGCCATCTAAAAACAACAACAAAAAAACAAGCAAAAAAAAAACCCCAAAAAAACAAAGATAGTTTTTCTGTTTTTTATAATAAAAGAATGATCCCGTGGGCAGCAAATGAGATGACCATGATGTTCAATAAGGAGTTTTGAGGTACTGCTAGTCAGGACAGGTTGATTGTAATGACAGTATGGACACAGATAGATTTTGAATACACATGTTTGAATGGCAGATGCTTCTCACAGAAAACCCGTTTGGCCTCTTTGGAAATAACTTTGCGTTATAATTTTCCCCTACAGCCTTTTCTTTAACCAAATGTGTTCCATTTGCCTTTCTGCTGACTTGACTGAGTCAATAATCATTGGTATCTGAGCTAGCAAACAGGTTGTGAGCCATTAGGTTATCTGAGGGTAAGCGAATCAAGTCCTGATCCACAGATAAGAGCATGGGAACAATGGCATACACGAGCAGTCCCACCCTCTCTGCTCCGCGTCATGTAGTTTGTTGTAGAATGCTTCTACTCAGGTTAATGTGTTGTGACCTCTGACCACAAGAATGAACCTAAGCAAATGTTAAGACTGACGAGAACCTTTTGTTTAGGAATTATATTGTAGACCTACAAAGCTAAAGAAAAAAAACAACTTTGTAGGGGCTCTTGATCACTTTATCACCTGCATTAACAAACTAATAAGTCACCCTTAAGCTCTTTAAGGTCTAATGAAGTTCAACGAAGTGGAACCTTTGTGTAGTTGTTATCTCGTATAAGAATAGTTCTCTTTTGACATGTGACAAGAACTAAGAGTGCACAAATCCAACTTTGACAGAACTATTGTCGTAATGCTGAGCAAATATAACAGGTCTGTAACCGTGTCTGGGCTCAGAGTAAAACAAACAACAGAAACCAAAAGCTAAATGACAAAACCACCAATTAGAACCGATGAAAAAGACAGGATTTCAAAGCTTTCTATAACTTGCACGCTGTAGCCCTCCAAAGTCTCCAACTTTCAGGTTTTCTTTTCGAAACCAGATACATCTGGTCACCCCCAGAAATAGTTTCCCAAAGCCTTTTTTAATCATTGGCTTAGATGATATGCATCAGCGTAAACTGAATCCACCACTATTTCATGTCGGTTCTGGCTCTTAGCTGTCTAACAGGCAGCCCTGAAAAAAAAATCAAGGTCAGCTTCCTCCCTAATGCAGGGGATAAATGAAAAAAGGCACATTCAGTCCCATGTTTGAATGTAATTGTTAAGAAAGGGAAGCAGTGAAATCTTTACTGAGATAAAATACTTTCAGCTATGTAGTGATTTGTATTCTTACACTGAGAGGAGCATTGGCAAAGCTCTTTTACAGCACCGGGGCTGTTAAGCTGTCAAGAAGAGGAGAATAAGCTGTGTGGGAGCATGTGTGTGTATGTGCGTGTGTGTGTGTGTGTGTGTGTGTGCTCAATTAGCAAGCCAGTACCTTCACGCAAACGCAACTCTGAAAACAAAACGAGGCCACGATGTTAGGGGAGCAGACCTGTGCGTGTGTGTGCCTATATGTGTGTGTTTCGGGACAAACGGATCTTTGTTCTTGTTGGCAGTGTTGTCGAGGCAGTTGGCAGAACAGCTAAAAAGCCTGAAGGACCCCACAAAACAGCACAGCAACACGGGCGACAGGACACGCACACAATGGGCAGAACTTTGCCTCCTCTGTCTTCGTTCTTTTAGGAAACAGGCCTCTTAGCTTCCCGTCCCAGACCTCGCTAACTGGTGATCATTGAAACAGCAGAAAACTCAAAAAGGCCGGTGTGGCGTGGGGGTACATACTCGTGAGAGCGTAGTTGGGGTTCTCCAGTTCCATGCGCTGAAGCTGAGCTCCCAGGTAGACCTACAGATGAATCAGAGCAAGGTGAAGTCAAGTTAAAGCATTATCACTGAATGGGGGGGGCAGGATCCTTGAAAGTTAGCACGCTGTTTCTTGTTTTTTTTTTACACTTTCAAGGACAGATTAACTGCACTCAGATCCACATAATGCTCCCTTTCGGGACTTTCTCCTTGCTAGGATTTTTGCACTCTTTTTGATCTACAGATAAAGATAGAGCCGTGCCATGACCATTTACTCTGTATAACAAAAGGCTGACGATGTGACCACAGACCAGAGGAGAGCGAGTTGTGACAGGCACAAATGTAAATTTTTCCCTAATCAAAACCCCCGGCTGATAGAAATGGGTCATCTCGCTCCAATTATAAGGTTAGTTCAGGCTCTACCGAAGTGGTCAGGTCTCTGTCTGTAAAGTATTTGTTAATAATGGCTGTAAGTGATTGCATGAAAAAGTTTGTGCTCTAGCATCACCAAAAACCACTTTATGTTTTGGATCTATCAGTTAATGTTAACTACAAGCTAGAGTTTTTTAGTTTGTTTTTTTTGGTTTTGTCCAGATCTTTGGTTGGGATAATTCTTTAATTCAGGTTTCATTGTGCTTCTCAGCTTTTGCTAATATCTTCTGGCTTTCTTAGCTTGATCTTGATTCTCTTGTAGTTTTTTGTTGTTTTTTTTTTAAAGCTCAATAGTATTTGTTTACCTTGATGTCGATGCCTCGGGCTGAAGAGCTGCCGTTGAAGAACCTGGAGGGAATTTTGGCAGAGAGGTCAGGCTCTTCTCGACCAAAGCCCAGATTTAAGAGGATTTCTTCAGGGTCTTCCTCATACAGGTCCAGTAACTCTGAAACGCTGCAGAGAGACACAGAGACAGTTAAAACCGAAGTAAGCTCATCAGTCAGGTAGGGAACCAGTACGATGAGGTCTGATCTGAATGCTCTGACCTGAGAACAGTTCGTATCTCTCTGACACAGAGTGCCGTTAGTACGTAGTCAGAAAACAACATGGCTGCTTGATTTTCTGAGTATTTGGGGAGTAAATACATGAGATACCTGACCCTCCCTGGAGATCATATCAATGTTCTGCCAGTACATGCTACAACCTAACAAGAAGCAGGAGATCAAAGGATTTTATGGCTACAGCGAAGCCCTAAAAAATAAAAATAAAAAGTGTAGTTAACTAAGTTTGTATCACTATAAATGAATTGATCCAATGACAAAAAACGCTAGAACAAAGGTTATTCACAGGTTATTAGGACATTTAAAGCAAAGGCACTTAGTATACTACAATACAAGCTACTTTTTTTTAAATTAGATTTTGAATTATTGTATCAATCTGAAATTTGATTAATTTTATTGGATCTGAAATATTATGAGATGGCTTATTGAAACTGAAGTAAACTAAAATGAACCACTAAAGTATAAATATTTCCAGTTGAATTTTCTGTGTGAAATGTACAGGTGTGAAAAGTGTGTAGTACAGTGAGCTGGTCATAGGTACTTTATGGGGAACAATAAATGTAAACCTCATTGATGCATATGATTTATGACAAAAGTGTGTCAATATAAACTTTTCCATCACAGCCGCTGCAAAAGGATAACCTCAAGTTAACATGGTCATCTCATTATCCTGAAAATCAAAGTCATCCCCAGTCTTCTGGGGAAATGAAACAAAACTTTGTGGGTTAAAAATAAAAAAAGAGATAGATTTAATAGAAATTGCGTGGATTGGCTGAATTGCTTTTCATTCTCGTGACTGCGGACTCCTGGAGGGACATGATAATGCGTTAACCCGAGTTTGCAACCAGTATGGTCTTTATTTACCAAAGGGTCAGATTTGTATTTAACATCTTCTACTACTTGACTGCTGTAGCAAAAAATCAGTTGCATGTTTGTCTTGTTTTACGTCCAGTAAAACGTTTGGCTTGTTTTACTTTTAGTAGGAAAAAAAAACAGTTTTAGTTCCAGTAAAAAAAGACAATCAAGACAAAAATCTTGAAGCGGTTGGATTATTTTTTCGTCTCTGTAGGTGTATCGTGTCTGTTGGAGGAACTGACTGGCTTTAGACCTGACAAGGACAGTAGTTTGCAAATAAATATATAGAGAAAGAAAGTCTCACAAAAAGTCAAGGTTGAAGTATATCAGATCTAGTTTTGCCAACCTAATTTGTATCAACTGAGTTATCCTGTTACTTTATTAGAAAAAAAATTAAAGTACAAAATTTAGATAAATGGATAAACTCCAAATCTCTCCAATTGGCAAAATTGATTATGTTAAAATGGTAATTTAGCACCTCCAGGTCAACTATTCGCCTGGAATAAAGGATAGCACAGATTAAAAAAAAGATTTGACTCTAAGCAGAGTTGTTTTCTTTAAATTTTCAGTTTTCTTTTGTTTAATTAAAATGTCCCAAGATATGATTTTAATTTAAACTGTTATTAAATCTCCTCAATCTGAAACATTCACACAACATCTTATAAGTTCATTATTTTTTTACCGATTTCTTTATTCATTCCTTGCACTTGGCCATTATGGAGATAAATTAGAAAAGTAGATGTTACTCCGACTTAAAGTGGATTTTGACCTTAAACTGTTTCTGTAAATTTTCATTGTTTCTATTTTATGAGCCATAAAATGACTTAAATTAACTCATATGAAGGTGAAGTTCCAAATGTGGGGTAACATTACTCTAGCAATAAATTGTATCAAATAATGTAGAGCTCTATCTAACAACTACCATCTACCAACGCCACAAAAAGAAACCCCTTTGTGTTTCGGATGCGCTTTCCTTTATCGGAGATTGCCTGGAATAAATCCCACAAAAACATAAGCATGTCTGATTTAAGAGTAACAGGGTGAACCGACCTGGACACGGTGCTGCTCTTTCCCGATCCAGTGGAGTTCATACTTCTCCCCTTCTCTTTGTACCGACTTCTCTTTTGATCTGCTGCTAGACCAAAACTGCATAAAACAAATGAGAACACACAGAAATATAAGCACATCGTTATACGGAAATGGTGGAGTAGGAGAAGGGCATAAAGACCAACCTCAGCTATAAAGTAGCACAGAACTTACCAAGATTCTGGTTTATTGTTCGTGGACTGAAGATGATCAGCTGTTGAATAAAAGAAAAAAAGAAAAGATATAAAATGACAGCAACATTGTTGATTAGTGTGATTTCTTTAGTTTTGAACATGAACCCAAACATTTAGATTTAAATTTGCTAAGAACTGGACTCAAGCTCAACGTTTACGCTTTTAGTTAAACAATTTTCTACAAAAATAACTGCACTAACTTCTCCTTAACATCTCTAGGATTTGGTCCTATGGTAATAGAGTGTTTCTTTATGTTAATGAAGCACAGTTTCTTTGCAAGTCAGACAAGTTAAAAGATTTCTTATCGCACTTGTAATTACAAAAAAAAGGCCACATTTCAATTCAGTTTTGATCAGTTTTTTTAGTTTATAACTATCTTATCTCCATACAGAAAATACAATCAAACTAATAAATATGACCTAAAGGCAAGTGCTCCACTCAAACATGTGGAGATTCGAAGTTTACATACATTTTTGAAAAATAATCAAAAAGCTGTGAAGTGATGCCAGATTATGTATTGTGTTACAATAAGTTCATAGATTCATATGGCATTTAAAAGGCTTTGACTCAGCTTTAGAAGCCAAATCTAGCTTAAGTGGATACAATTTCTTAAAAAATAGTAGTCGGTTGAACAAAGTCACGACTTCTGTCTACTTTGGTTTCAAATCAAGAACCAGGTGCTTTACGTATCGTTGGAATCCTGACCATTAGATCTACTTCTATTCCATGGCGCAGACCTTATTTTGGACCAAGGCCAACTTTAAATGAGTTACATAACTGAAAGTCGTAACCTGATGGAGGTGTGACGGATACTTTTTCTCTTTCAAGAAAATAACCTGTTGAGACATGTTATCCTGCCACCATCCTCGACTGGGTCTCTCTCTTCTCTACAGACTTTTTCCATCTTAAGAAATATGTTTTTTCTTGTTTGACAGACAGCTGGATTAATGTAGAAAACTATGACGACAGCTCCGCTGCATATATCAGTTTACTGATTTATTGCCATTCCATTCACTCTGTACTATCTAATTCACTTTTGCCTATTCAACCACAAATCCCTTGATCTTTCTTATCCTCTTCTGGTAATGTTCGACATCATTAAGTCCAATTAGGATCTGTTAATACATGATACCTTGTCATTCTTTTAAAACTGAAGTGGCACTTACAAACTAAGCATATGTCAGCTAACACAACCATGAACGAAAAATAAAAGTGCTCAAGACTCGAGCTCTAGGGCCCAGGACAGATTAGGCTAATAAAGAAGTTTGAAGAGTGTCCTTCCTCCCTAACAGTCCACAGCATTGAGGCTGCAATCAGCAGCAGTACTGTAACCAGGGAGTGAACGTCAGCTGTTTACACAAAATATGGTCCCGGAACATGTTTGTACAAGTTATATGTGTATTTTTATTTGCTCTTCAGAGCATAGGTTCTATGAAATTACTCATGATTAACCTCCTCCTGTTCAGATTCAGCCAACTCGTGTGACAGTGAGTGCTTTCCTCTTGGTCACTAAAATGGCTCAGTCAATTGAATATCCTGGAAAGCCTGTTTCCTTCCAGGTAACTGAAACTGCCTAAATATTTGGAACAAATATTTCTGTGGTATAACTTCATAACTTTTATAAGAGAGATATTTTAGAGATAACTTAATCACTAAGAGATGTTGAGCACTACAATATAAAAAAGTACTACAGTATATTACAGTAAATTGGGACAATCTATTTAGCCCATGGTCTCCATTATGGAAATGGAATGGACTGAGGAAAGAATTCCTTAAACGAACCTAGTCAAATGGCAACTTTTCAACAAGTTCTTTACAGTATCTTATGCATAATATATTAAAATATACAGTATATAGAATTGTAATATCATATACCTCCATTTAACTGCAAACAAAAGATTCATATTTTCTGTCCTGAAGCTCCAAAAACAAAACAAAAAACGACTGGTAACGATTAAAAAAAATATGTTCATCAAGAATATGTAGCTTGCAAATTAAAAGCGCTAACAATGCTACAAAATAAATGTTTACAAATTCCAACATCAAATTCCTAGCATACATTTAACCAAGAATTCATCAGCTGAATTCTAACGATGCACTCAAACATGATATGCCACATCACGTCATTATAAACTATTGTTCACTCAATAGCATATAAGCCTTCATGCGATCAACAAAACTACTAATGCATTCCCAGAATGTCACAAAGTCTTGAGAGCATATGTGCTCTTAGAAAAGGGTCAGTCATCCATGCAGTCTGTCCACGCCTATGAAGCTGTTGACTTTTCATTCATAAAGAAACAAGACTGCAGAATGAAGGTGAAGTGCAGAAGAAGACTTCTATTGATTTTACTGACATTGTTTACACAAATGATCTTATCTCTAATAAAAACAACTAATTCTTGTCAAATAGACAATATCAACTTAAACAACCAGTTATGCCATTCCCTTTTGCACACGACTAACCTATTTTTTTCCTGAAACTTTTTTGTTCACCAAAGGGCTGATCGTTTTAGCACTCTGAATCAAATACTGATGCTGACTAATGTACAAATGATACTTCGTAAGAAACAAAGAACTTTTCATGAAACTCATTCTTTTTTCAATCTTTTTTTCTATTTTAATCAAACCTTCCCACTAAATTATATTATGTAAAAGAGAGATAAAATATCCATATAGTCTAAATCTAACTCAAACTAAGTATTAGATGACAGTTACATTATAGTATTTGTCTTCCATCTTTAAGAAGCAAACCTCTACCATCAAATTAATTTAAGTTAAATTCAATAGTAGCTAAATTTCTCATAGCTGCATGTTCTTTTGATAATTTTGTCCCATCTAGCTTATTTTTTAAGCTTAAGCGTACCTTCCGTTGCATCTTGGTCCATCTGCAGGTCCTTTGCCTGCTCATTTTATCTCAGGTCCTGTCTAACTTGTTTTATCTTTTGTTGCTCTGAAATCAGCCTACTTATATTAGCTTTTTGGCCCATCCATGTGCCTTTGGTAGAGTAACATTCAACGTAAACACAAGAACATTGTGCTACAAACAAATGGACCAGACTCAGGAAATATTTCCCTAAATTCAACAGTTAAACTATGATCCATACATAGAGCAACGCTGCATGTTATTGTGATAATAAAGCAGTACTGACTTCAGAGTGTACACTTTTTCACCCGTTTACATTATATTTCAACAAAACAACAAAATTAGGTTAATAGTATCTATACTGCAAAGGAGAATGGTATAACTTAAGTTATTTGCATTTTCTGTTGTCTATTTGTGAAGAATTTGTGTTTTTTTGCACAGATTTGTGCCTGTAGACTGTGAGACGAATGCTTTTGTGCTTTAGAACTGCTTTAAACCACAATAATAACATACTAAGATTTTCTGCATCCCATACATGTTTAACTAATCTGATTAAGCGCAGAACCAACAAATGCACCTGGATCACTCTTTATGAGATGAAAAGCTGAAGAACATCTTTTATGCTGTTTTTTTTAAGTAAACGCACATGCATGGAAGCAGATGACCATAAACGTAGCATGAAAAAGATCTGAGACAGATGATTTGCACATGAACAAACCCACCAGGGCTCTGAATGTTGCAGCTACAAACAAAGCCTTAGATGAACACACCACTGGCCACCGTTCATATAATTTATCTGTATGCAAGCACATCCAAGCCAGTGTAACGCTATGTGACTTGGGAATTAGGTGCTGTGTCACATTCCTGCATGAATGAAAATAAGCACTTTGGAGCACTTGGCCATGTTTAGAAAAAATAAATGAGTGCATAAGTATCATTAAAGTCCTATCCACATCAACTATACAATTAATATTCCCTGAAAAGGTAACTTTTGCATCCAAAGCACCTGCATGCTTGACATGTCTCTAAATCTGATACTTCCAGGTGGGGCTGGGATTACCCATCACACAGGAATGAAATGGAGAAAAACTTACACCAAGAATTATTACAAAATTGGAGAGAGAAAAAAACAGTCTCAACTTTAACATTTTCCAAAAAAATAAAACTTCTGCCAACCTGACAACAGAGTGAATTGATGTGGGCAAAATGAATGAACAATGTGGCAGTGACTAATTTAAAAAAAACAAACACAGATATTCCATAACGTAACAATTTAAGCAAGTGGTTTCTCCGGAGCTGAATCTTGAAAGTTTAGGGAGCAGCTCTACTGATTTCAATCTTGCCATTTGAATGATGAAGTATTTTTCTTCGATTAATCAGAATACAATCACAGAATTGCTGGAAACTAGTAACAATGACCAGAAATTGCTAATCTTATTCATAATGTGAGTTTCTTTCTGAACTGACCTTCAGCTCCCAGAGAAAGGTCATCTTCAAAGCTGCAGCCGTTCTTTGGTGCTCCTGTTCACATGCACAGACAAAGAGTGTGTACATAAAGTTGTAGAGTTGTGAAACACCTTCCGTTAATACGTAAATCACTAAAATTAGCAACTGTCCCAGCGTGAGGGTTAAAGCTAAAGTCCCTTACACTGGTTTAGATGATGCCATGAGAACAAAGATGATGTCAACATCAGAGCGGTTAATATCCCTCAACAAAGAATGTACATTACCTTTGCTGGGAGACGGACTCTGATCATCTAGAGAAGCTCCGAGGGGAGTCCTGGTCAAGAGACATAAAAAACGCAAGCGATCGTTAAACACCTTATAAAAAGAATAAAAGCATAAACCTAACTTTAAATACATATGCTAATCCTTTCATGCATAGCGGCCCCTACTCTGGACTGCTATTATAAAAAACATTTTCTGTAAAAAACTGTATATTTATGGGTTTTTATGTTTTAAATGTGCATAGGCCGCTGAAGTGGACGCACTACCCCAGATAGTAGTGAATATTGGACAAAGGATGAGAATTGCATGCATGTTCTGTTTGTGTGTTCTGTGTTCTAACTAATGTCAAAAGATGTTCATATTGTAAAATACAGTATTTCTTTAGTGAGAAATCTTTAAATGTATGTGGTCGATGTTTGTGGATATCTGGAAAAATCATGGAATAAACACATTTTTTACCAAAAAAAAGGGGTTTCACCTTTTTTATGCCTTGAGAAAATCAAGAACACGTTCAGGAAAAAAATACTAACTGAAATTATCATACTTCTTGCGTGAAAGCGTTCAAAACAAAACAATCTATCAGTAAAGTTAGTTCAAATGCTGAGCAAAAAGCACAAAAGACAATAAAAAAGAAGCTGCATAGCACAGCATTGTACTTAGACACATATCAGACAGCGTTTTATTTTTCACTTGGTACTTACTTACTCTAGTTAACTACACGGGGAAAAAAAATCACATGGCACCGCTGGTAAACTATTGAACAGTGATGAATAGAAAACCAACACTGGGAGAAAATCCTTCGTGTGAAATCCTCACGCTAAGAACTGAACAGGTGACACTATAACAGCGGTTCGGTCAAGGCTGATTATCCAGTCTTAAAGTGAGAAAAGTGACATCTTCATCTGACTCGTCAAGGCAGAAAAACGAAAAAAAAAGTCAAAATCAATGGCTAAGAATATCAGGTTACATCCTTGAGTGGCATATGTTAACTGCATTTGGTTGAATGGATGGCAGATTTAAGTTAATGACAGCACTCAAAGGCTAAGTGGCTGTCACAAAGCAGAATTCACTGCAAAATAAAGGTAATGGTAATAGTTGACAGCAGAATTTTCTATAATATTAAGTTCACGTTACACACAGTAGCAATTGTAGTTGTCAAGCAAAGTCTATCCAAGTCTTACTCTATCGAAACAAAAGCCCTTATATTTTAGACCGTATTTGTCTTTTGCTCTGAAATTTCGGAATTCTCTACTCTACATCTAAACACACTAGCTGTCCGAGCATAACTAACTTGCAGAGCAGCCTGACCTGCTTTCTGCTGTCGTGTGTTCAACACTGAGCTCTTTCACAACCTATAGCTCTTATCAGTGGGTCAAACTTCAAGTTACTATTTAAAAGACACGGGTGGTTGTGTAACTTGTGTAACAATGCACAGCTACGATGTTTGCCGACCCTCCCACTTTTGACAGGCAGCCACGTTGGCCTGAGGCCTCTGCCCTGCAGCTGTTGCCACGGCAACCGGGCTTTAAGATTTGACCGGGAACTTGCTGGGACGACTTTGCGGCCGGGGAGTCTGAGCGTGTCAGAGGGCCGTGAGTGACGGCGGCTGAAACTGCGAGTGTGTGATAACGGTGTTGATTCAGAGGGAGGAACTCCTTTGTTTACTCGCCCCTCTTTTTCTGACTTTCTTTCCGTCTTCTGTCGGCTTCTTCCTTTCCCTCCCTGCCTCCAGCGTTGGCTCAACACCTCGGTATGCCCCATCACTGGGTGTAACACTGCTCCTCGTGTGTGTGTGTGTGTGTGTGTCTGTGTGTGTGTTCTCCCTGGTCCTATATGTGTTATATGTCCAACATCACTTCTGATCAAATCTATAAATGTACACCATGAAAACATCCATGTACTAATGAGCAACACAAAACAGTGGCACAATCTGTAACTTAACCAGTCAAACAGGATTTAAAAGGACCATTAAGGATTTACTTTTCTTTTCTTTTCTCCATTTTGTTGTGCATTCTGCTGATTTTCAAAGGATCCGTCAGATATTGAATTGACAGGTTCCGTGGAGTATAAGAAAAATTCAAATTGAGATTTTGCTTAATTTGAAATAAAAACTCTTCACTGAATTAGTGAAACAGCATCAAACAGGTCATAAAAGGCATTTCTGGCCACAGTGACATGCTGAATGGATACCATACCTGCATTCAACCAGCCAGCTGGCAATCTTGTTCTGAACTTGCCCTGACGGAGAGACAGACGTGAGCAAGTTAAAGCAATAGTCCAAAAGACGCCGCACAGCGATTACAACATACTATAAACATACCATGCAGTGCCCGGCTTGAGGATATAGTTTACTCTCAGATGATCACAAAGCATAACCACAAATTGTAAGTCTTCAGTTCAGACTAAATGACTCTCAGCAAGCTTCTGTTCACACCACAGAGGCCACAAATGGTGAATAATTTCACAATTTTGCATCATCATCTGCTCGAAAATGACTCACATTATGAGTCAGAATGTCACTATACTGTTTGGTTTTCTTTACACGAAAGTTATGTTTAAAAATAAGCATTGAGAGCAACCTTTTAAACTATTGACATTTTTTTTCAGAAGTTTTTTTTTTCTCTGGAAGACAACAAATCTTAAACAAAAGATATGTTGAATCCACAATACAGCAGATAGGTGACGTAAGAGATAAAATAAGACAGGTAATGAGTCTTATTCAGTACTTTTGGATTGAATATTTTTTTGACACCAGCTCCTTCACACCTGGTTCTTGGGAGGGTTTTTCTTGGTCCCCGTTAGTCTGGCTCTGCTGGGGCTCACAGTGCTCCGGCTTCGATTCTTGTCCGCTGGAGTCTTTGCTCTTGGCCCAAGCCCGACGCCGCATGTCGGCCATGCTGATTGGCCTCACCGTACCATCTAGGGATCAGACAAGGGAAATCTTTCTTGAACTGCTTGAAAACATGAAGTCTGCTTTACAAGACGACATCCAGGTTTGACATCGGGTTTGGCATCCGGTCAACCAGACAAACCAAAAAAAACACATAAAGCTTCCGTTCAAGGGAGTCCAGAACAGGATAAAGATCTCTTCTTTTTTTTTCAGTTTTTGCAAAACCATCTGACAAGATGCTTTTTCTTTCTTTATGTTTTCTTGCTGTCAAACCCTACGCGAGAACAAAATCTCTTGTAAGTGCTTCATACATATTCTGCAAAAAATGTACACATGCATATATTATGATCTTCTGCAAACATTATATGATCAACGTCAGTTTCGAACCACTGGCCTGGACCTACGTTTCGCTATGAAATCATTCGCTCAAACAGAATGTTGCTGCGTATTGTGAGAAGATCGTTGTTTTTTTTGTGTCCCGTAAGTCACATGACTGAATCCTGTCTGCTTAATGGCATAAGAGATGTCCATTCTGCAAATGAGGCCTCTCATGCGTCTCTCCTTCACTGTGAATTCACTGTTTGTTGTTTTTTCTAGACAGTATGAATGAATGAATGAATGAATGAATGAATGAATACTGAACAATGTAAAATTGCACACTGAGGCCTCAGTGTGGCCTCAGTGGCCCATGTATGAATAAATCACAATCAAATATGCTTTAATGGTAACATTTTCATTGTTATTTAACCAAATTCTTTTTATTTTTTTCAATTCCTTTTATCAGTTTAAGTATGTAAATATTGGACAGCCCACCTGTTGCAGTGGCACCTTCCACTCCCAGAACTCCAGCCTCCATGTCTGCTCGTGATGGAGGTCAGTCAGCTGGAGAACTGACGACTCTACAGCAACATCTGCGGGAGGTAACAGACCTGCAAAAGGGGAAGAGATTTTCGTTTTTTTTTTGGGAGCTTAGCAACCATGCATATCAATAAACAGGGCTCCATTTAAAAGGTTGCCCAGGACAACTTTGCATCATTTTGGTAAGCAGTAACAAATGTGATGCAATCCCTGACGCACATTTTAGATGACGTTTTTGTGAGTGATTGAAGACGGAATATGTAAAAACTCATTCATGACTTGAGGATGATTCAGACTGTATTGTTCTCATTTTGTAGGATTTAAAATCTCAAACAGAGCACAAGTGACCTGATGAATTTGGCTTCAAAATGTCCTTCACACCACATAAGTTTACCAAGTAAGTTTTTTTTAAATAAATCGGGGCAATGTGTCAAAGGCAGACAGCAAAGAAAATTCCAGCCGAGTTCTTCAGTTTCCCTGGACTTGCTACAGTCAGTGTCACGACGTGCCCTTTACTTCTCAAAGGCAGCGGATGAAATCAGATAAGCTAAGAACAGAAACCGAAGTATTTCATTTGTCACAAATGTAAGTTATGGAGCAGCAGTACTTTTTTTTCCTTTAGTTTATATACTTAAGCTCAAATGAGTAAAAAAATAAAAATAAGTGGTAAATATACAATATGACCGCATGATAACGTCAATAAAGGCATTTCTTACAAATTTCCATCAGCTTATTTTGATACATGGAAATATATCTTATCATAGCCATAGCATGTTATGCACATAAATAACTGAACATTTTGTCTCCTTTTTTCTAATTTCAGACGGGTATATTAGGGAATTTAGCCAGTAAAACATATTAGTTACTTGCGCAAAGGACATGTGGCTGCTCAGACTAAATGTCAAGGCCTGAAACATATCTGTACACAAGGCAGAGTGAGTCAGAAAAGCTTGCTTCCATCTGCGGTTTGTTTACAAAAGTCAGACAGAAGAGACGAATGTAAGCAATGATGAAAAGAAAGCAGGCACTAAAAACACATTGTGAAATAAAAAGAGCATAATTAGGCTCCGGTTGAAACACTCAAAGCTGGGGGCGGGGCAGCAAAGCATGCTGTAAAAGGAATACACTGGCAAAGAAAAGTAATTAAATGCAAGACGTGCAACATAAAGAAATCATATGTCCATCTCAGGTGGTTTAAGGTCACTTCTCATATTAGTCAGCAGCAGGTCGTAATATCCCCCTAAAGCTGCAAAATACTCCTTCAGTTTAAGATTGAAATGAGAAATCCTGAGGAGATAAGACGGAGATATTTTGTAATGAAATTCAACACAGCTGTTTACTGCTAATGAAGAAGTTACATAAACGGCTTGTAGAACTCTGACATTTGGGAGATTTTAACCTTATTTCTAAAAAATTGTGACCTAACGTCTTTCTTGACTTCATTAAATATCTGAGCATTCAGTAGTAGGGCTTTAATAGGCTAATACAAATATGAGCTCCCCAATATTTTGGTAGCAGTTTCCATCTATCCAAACAATGCTGCTCATGAACAGGCTGCCTTTTTAAGAAGTTTTGCTTTTCTTTTTTGGGCAAAGTGGCCTTCATATTCTTTGTACTTTCTGGTGGACACACTCTGCATTTCTTCTCATGGACTCTTTCCTCAGTCCATGTAAATGCTGTCAAATGAAAGTAGGAGTGAACACAATAGGTACCGATTAATTTCTTTAACCTGGTTCCATTAATTGGACTTCATAAAAACCAAAATTGAAACATCCTTGTCTAAACCATATGAACCTTATGCTTCTTGTTTCTTTGTTTTTTGTCTCCACTCTGCAGCAGATCAGACGGGGTTGATGGCAAAGCTTTTCGATGGCAGGTAAAATGAGCAGCGTGCATTCACCTGACTGGACATAAGGCCTGAGCTCCTGCTGCAGAGCGTGGAGAGCAAAGTGACGGAGCGAAGCAGGAAGGAGAGGAAAAATGGATAAACCCAGAGGAGCGTGGAGCCGAATCTAGACGAGAACGTGTGAAACAGGAAACAAGTGTTTAGAGTGAAGAACAGAGCAACTTCCTGTCCAAGGGAGAAAGATAGAGGGGAGGAGGGCTGGACGGGTTTATTTTTAGATCTTAGATCTTTGCAAATGCAAAACAAAACTGGAAAAGCAGAAAACAACAACACGCACGCTGACAGTGTGCCAAGAGGCAGGCATCTTTAGCATGGAGTACGCTTCCTGAATGTGCGTGAAATCTGGATTCATTACATAATTTCCAAACCCCTCTGCTTTCAGGATATATTTTTAAAACTTAGGGGGGACTTATGCAAACACCCTGTCTTCGTCTTCACCCAACTTGAATTGCAGATTGTGCTGAATGGAAAGATATCCATCAAGCCCCCCACTTTCTAAGTGTGCTTATTCCCGAGTAGGATTCCGAGTAGGTTGCAGGTCCCAGCTATCAGAGGCGGGCACACCCTGGACGGGTTTCTAGTCCATCATAGGGCCAAAACGAGACAGACAACCGAGCACACACACACTCCTTAGAGCAATTCAGAGTCAACGATTAACCCAACAGGCGTGTTTTTGGACCGTGCGGGGCCAGAGTGCCCCGGAGATAATCCCCTCTGCGCACTACACACACACAAACACACACACACACAACAACGGCGAGGCCACCGCGACGGCAACGGGACTGGCCCACAGCTCCCCAGCAGCCGAGACATTCAAATTCAAGCCGTTCTCAAATATTAAAAATTATGTTTGCACAGTTAAGCCCGACTGTAAATGCGTTCGGCGTGCATTCCACCCTGAGCATCGGGCCCCATCTGTTTCCACTCCCGTCACCTCTTTGCCAGTCTGACAGCACGGTGCCTAAAAGAGGGGTCGGCTCCAACTGTCTGTAGTCAAACTGTAAGGGAGAGAAATGCATCTGAGAGTCAAATGACGACTCAATGAGTCGGCTGTGTGCTGGTCTGAGATCTGAGGCTATTTACCGTAAGCTCCCTCGTGCTGCGACGCTATCCTTTAAGGGTAACTGTTTGCCATTATTGTCATTGGAGAAAGACCCTATGGCGGAAAGGCGGGAGAACAAGTCCAGTCGCGACATGCCCTAAAATTAGACCATATAGGGCCGCAGCTGTAGCCTAATGGTTACAGCGGGCCACTAGAGCCAACAAAATCTTTAAAAAAAATAAATAAATAATTAGACCATATGAGCAGAACGCTACATTTATTTCTGAAAAAGAAGTGAAGTCTTTGGGTTGCTTTTTTGTTTTTCACCAAAGCTTTTCACAGACATTTCATCAGCATCTCAGGATACTGTGTCATCTTTTTAAGAAGGAGCACAGTGTTTTCTTAGAATCACTTGATTGGCGGTATAAAAGTAATGGACCATAAACAGGAAGGCTCGGTATCAAAATCCTGTGCTTTTCATTAAGCTTCAACAAAAACTATTGGATGTTGTGGAGTACTAACCTGGTGATTAAGGAGTGCTGACGCAAGTTTAGACGTAAGGCTCAGAAAGTGGATGAAGTTACAAAACCTCCACCAAAGACAAGCTTACGTCAGGCAGAGAAGCAACGGTGATTGTGAAATAGCACCCAAATAAAAAGGCCCTCATATTATATACAGCCATATTTAAAAACTGCTATTCAAGTAATGGATAAAATGATTATAGAAACATATTTATAAGCAACTAATGCCTGAGTGCAGTATCTTTTTTTGTGAAATTGAAACCCTTTCAGTATTTTTTTCTGTGTCTCTCTTTTCTCTGTGTCATGTCCAGGAGATTGTAAAGGAAATGTTTTTCTTCCCAAGTCAGAAAGCTTTATTAAGTACCTAAAGATAAACCAATGTGCATTTTTATATATTGAAAAAAGTCAGAGCTTCACTATGAATACATTTCATATAAAGCAAAAAAAATTTAAATAAAAAATAAATCCAGCCCCCAATAAAAGAAAGACCAGAAATTCTGAAGAATTTCTCTTTAAAAAAAAAAAAAAAAAGACCAACCAAAAGATGCGTTTCATGCGCTTTTTTCCCCTCGCAAACAATGATCCAAACAGTGATTCACAAAAATGCCAAAAGTACAACCTAACCAAACAAATGTGATGTACATGACTATTAAGCGATGAACTAGTTCCACTTCTGGGA